TGTGAAGATCTAAAGGATACTTTGTCTGTTTGAGGTGAATGACATATGCCCTCACATGATCCCATTCCAAATACAGAAACTGACTAGACCAGCATTTGGAGCATAGACACTAGTGCCGGGCCAGTATCCTGCCCTGTTGCCTGCGAGGAGCATACTAGCTTAAGGGGGCAAGACAGGACCCTGCTTATGTGACACATTTGTAAGGTCTGCCAGCACCTTGCTACTGCTTCGTCCACACTCTGCTTTGTGTCAGCTCGTCACTCACTCCAAGAAATGCAGTCCCACAGCAACAATGCCAGCATGTGTCATGTAAGCAGAAGGGCACCTGCCCATGTGTGATATCTGTTGAAGTGCATGGTATGGATTGGCTGCTCACAGTTTGCCTAGTCAGTCATGGGGTTTCCAAGTGAAACTATGGTGTATTTGGGGAAGATGATGAAGCAGCACAATCTGCCTTCCCAGGTCAACAACAAAAGAACACTGCTGCTGCAAGGGCACCTGCTCAGGAGGATGGGGATGGTCAGGAAGCTCAGAGGGAACTGCTGGGAACTGAGGGAACTTCACTGCCCCCCCCCCCCGAGCATTTACTACATCACCCAGACACCTCATTCTGCCTGATGATAAAGCTAACCCTGTAAGAGAAAGAGATTTCTGCATTGTTACTTAGCCTTGCTTGGGCACAGCCAGGTTTTTTACAGGACCATTTCCCTCTGTTCTGTGGAAACTCCTGAATACAATCTTAATAGAATATTCCTTCTCAAAGTGAAGCATTATTTCTCTTCTCCCTGCCCCCATACCTTTTCATTTAAGCTGCCTGGGTAATTAATTGCCTAGGCTCAGATTCTAATTCAGTTACTTGCAGGTACATTTCAGGAACCAATAGAACTTAAACAAAAGTGAAGTTCTAGTTTTCTCTAAGTGGTATATACCCGTGGTGCTATATAGCCTTTTTCTGGACCCAGCATTACTTGTGGGTGTTGAGGAGGTAGTGGCCAGAAGGGTGTTTTTATCAGCTTGGGTCAACTCCTAAGAAGGCAATATGCTGGTTACATTCAGACTAGACTACTGTAATACATGGAGAAGCCTTTAAAATGGTTCCAAAACAACAGCAGATTAAAAAAGGTAACCACCAGGCTACTGGTAGAGCAAGGCAGTCAGCATGCATTACAGTATTTTTGTGTTAGTTAACCTGACTTCCTGAGCCAAATTTGAAGTGTTGCTAGTCACCTTGAAGCTAAACTGCTTGAAACAAGGTTTTTGAAGGATTCTCCAGGCTGATATAATTCTACCTAGCTGTATATTAAAGTCCATTTTGGAGACTGTGCTCTCTGTCCTGCCATTGGTCAAGGTGAGATAGGCAGTTACTAGACACAGGGCCTCCCATGAGCATATGGACTATTCAGTGCCTACACAGGCATTTGCTTGAACTACTATAGTCCCATGTTTAAAGTGTGTCTATGAACGTTATCTGCACAGCATGAAGTGGGTGCTTGTGTTGTGAAGGGTGAAATGTGCAAATCTCTAAAACAGATCTTTTCTCACAGCCCAAGCATGCCTCCATAAGGATGTGACTCAAGATAACTGGGACAAGGATAGAGGAAGATTACTAAGTTTAACCCCTGTTCTGCAACTTCATACATCTAGTCGAACATGTCTCACAGGTTTTTGTAGTTAAAAAATCTGTTTGCCTGAGGTGAAAATGGCATGAGTCCTGATCTCTCAAACCACTTCCACCTCTCCAGAGTCTTCATCTTTTCCATGCAGCTACACCTGTCTTCCCTAGCTTTAGGGGAGATAGTAGAAAGCCTGAAGTGCAAGAAAAGGAGAACATGCTGCATGTATTTCTGGAACAGGGAGGTACTGGCTGGGTTCAGATGACGTGGCTACCATTCACAGGCACCTAGCCTCAGTGGACTGCTATGTCTTATTAACTCGAACCATTTCCTGCAGTGTTGTTTGTAGGCAACACTGACAAACCATAACTTGTTCTAGAAGTTCTATCTATGATGAGTTGTTATGTCATCTGAAACCAAGTGACAAACCCCACCTCAGGTACAGGGAAATGGTGAGCAAGTCTTTTGACAAGAGAAGCAAAAATTGCTTGCCATTCTTGCTGGGTTTGCCTGGGCTATCTCCAACTGACACCTGTTCTGTCAAGTGTCCAAGTGGCACTTGGAAGTAAGTCTCACTGTTTAAGTCTCCTCCAAGCTGAGTACAATCACTTCTGCAGTCACCACAGCTTGTGTTTCCTTTTATGCCCTGCCCCTTTTCTCCTGGGCGTTGCTTTTCTTAAAATTTCCAAAGTGGCAGCCACGTTGGAGTAGCTGCTACTGATACATCAACAATTTTAAAAATTATTTTTGTGCCTGAGATTTGTATCAAATGCAGCCATGGAATCTGCATAGGTCCCTGTCAAAAATCTTGTTTTACTAGAGGATCTCACGAGGTGTGCGTTTGTGGGTGTGTATGTGTGATAAACTCACCAATCCATTTCACAAGCTAAGTTCCCCTCGCAGCATTGCTTCTCACTTGCCAGCTTGCCATTTGATAAAGCACCTCTAAAGGAGCTATTACTGTGGATCTCCCCTCCAAAGAGAGGGAGGGGAGAAAGAAAAGCCTCAGTGACTATAAAGGAATTTTTGCAGCAATGAGAAGAGAAGACAAGATGGGTCCTGCCACAGAGTCTCCTGGGATATCTGTGGAATGACTGAAGGGGGAGGAGTGGGAACAACCAATAGTGAACCTTCTTATCTGTCAGGCACCATGACAGAAGCAATGCAATCCACTGCATTGCATTTAGAAAAGCCATAAGTTCATAAATGAATAGGAAATACTTCCCTTCTAGGCAACAGTATTTTAGAGAGGGGGTCCAGTTCTTGCATGTTACAGTCCACTCAGGTAGATTTGCCTAACTCTGAAGAGGAGGTGGAGGGGCAGATTTGAGCAGATGACTTGACAGTTTCAAGGTGACTTCATGAAGATTCTCAGAGCGTGAGAACCATCCCACCTTGGAAAAGAGGGAGGCAGTTCAGAACTGGTGGGGAACCAACACCAGTTAAGTTAAATCAGATTGATGACAAATATTCTAATATATGTTGGAGATGTGGTAAAGGGATCGGAACTTATAAACATATGTAGTAGGATTGTGAAAATATACAAAAGATTTGAATTATTTAAGGAAATAGGAGAAATTTAGGTAGACTTAGAAATGTCACCAAGAATGGTATTATTACTGTTGACAGAAAAACAAGATATAAATGAAGCTAAGAATTGCTTATAAGTATGATAATGGCAGTTAGGCTACTGATAATTAAATAATGGAAACAGAATTGGGTTTTGCAAAGGCATGAATGGAATAATGAAATGTGGAACATGGTAATTAATGATAAACTGATGACAGAAATAACAATTAAAAGAGGGTTAATGAAAGCAAATAAATATAATGAAATTTGGGAAGATTTTGTAAAAGCAGTACTGATAGAAGGCAAAGGCTGTAAACCCAGTCAAGATTATATGAACTTCTGGAGGGGATATGGAAATAATTGAAGTATATTATATATTATTAATTTTTATGGTATGTGAATGGTGGTAGTATTGGTCTCCGGGGTGGTGGGGGCACTTTATTATGTACTTTTTGTTGTTGTGTTTTTGTTATGTTATATTATTATTGTTGTGATGTATTGTAATTTTTTTTTGTCAAAAAAATAAATAATGGGGGTTAAAAAAAAAAGAATTGGTGGGGAACCAACTGGGACGGAGTTTCTTGGCCCAGTCATGAGACGTGAAGCAAGCAGTCCAGTTCAGAAGTGCTGACATTCCTGCTGCCCAGCCCTCAAGCAGTAGGAGCCACCCTGAGGTGGAGTCAGAAGATTTTCTGAAAGGGAGGGAAGGAGAGAAAATTTCAGTTTAGATTAAACTCTTTACATAAGCACTTAATGTGAAGCGCAATAAATGTGCCATAGTCAAGCTGTCAAGAGCAAAAAATGTGCCTCACAGGGTTATCTGTACGGGATTTTAAAGGTCTTGCTGTCCTGCTGCCTTTTCAGTTGATGGGAATTACTTGTTTTGTTATGATCAGCCACCCATCCAGTTTGCTTCTGCTGGCTTTCATAAACAAACTTGAACAGCTGTTGGTAAAGCAATGTTGCTTATTTGGAGTATGTCTCTGACAAAGTGTCATGGTAGTTAGCAGTACTTGCGTTGTGATGAATCTACTGAACCCAGTGCTGCTGGTGGTAAAATATCTGTCATAATGAGCTTCTGTTCACCATGTATATGAGACCAGTGTCAAGCGCATTTGAAAATGGATTGTGTGAATAAGTTATTCTTACTTATTTCATTTCTATACCGCTCCACAGCTGAAGCTCACTGGGTGGTTTGTAACACATTTATGCCCACTATTGGTGATGGAAACCTGATATGCATCTGTCAACAACATGTCTAAATGTTGTCCTAATGTCTAAATAACCAATGAATATACAATCCCACTAATGCATTTCTTCTTATTCCTAATGGCATTCAGTTGCCTTTTTTCCTCTTCTCCATTTCTGTACTGCTTACTTAAGCTTACCTCTCTTTGTGTTTTCTGTGATGTGTGTGTATCTATGGGATAATAGTGGAAAGAGACCAAAGAGTTAAAACCATCATTATGACTTAGATGTGATGTGATTATTCTTGTCTTGATTGAAGGACTGATGGGGACTATGTGGAATTGACAATTAACCTCTATCTATCCAGATATTTGTCTATACAGTTGAAGTTACAGTCATTTTATTGGACATGTCTATCTGGATCATGAATCTTTATGTCTCTTCTTTATAACCCATCCATTGAAAACAGTCTTACCACTAGATGGCTTCTGTAAGAATTGAATTGCTTGGATGCTCTTTGAGTTGTTTGTGCTGTGCTTGCTGTAGAAATGTTGTTGAATTGAACCATAGAAGTAGTTGAAGTTTAACTGATGCATTTTATTTCTAACTTACTTCTGTTCTCTTCATCAGCCTCTAATTTATCCTGTGTGGATCCAGCTTACTTCTATGATCACACCATTTGGACCCGCCAAGAATCTATTACTCATTTGTTCTGCCCTTTGGATAATCAGAGCCTTCAGCTCCTTCAGTCCACAACAGACATTAATATCCAGTGGAGCAAAGACTGTCACCCACTTAACCTCACTGCTTCAGGCCGCCTGCATAGCACACTGAGGAACACAACTGCATACCTCACCTTTGAGCAACCACATGCCAGCGATGCAGGCAACTATACCTGCACACTCTACTTGAATAGTCAAAGAAACATCTCTTTCACCATCCGACTGGATATGGCAGGTAAATGAAAAAAGTGGGGAGAGTAACACAAGTTTGTCTCTGGAGCATTGTTGAACTGATCTCAGAGAGGGTGTGCTGATCATGTTTCAAGACATGCCACTTGCCCAATTCCATCACAGAACAACTGTGAAATATCTAAAAATGAAGGGCAGGGTTTGTTCTTTTGTCAATATCCTCAAGTACTAATCTCACACTGAAATAGATGTGGTACTGGGTAGACATTAGAGATCTGAGCCAGTGCATGACATTCTATGATCTATGTGCTACATTTTTAGCATGCAGTCAGTTAATGTCTATAGTTGGAATTATAACCTCTGAAAAGTGATAGCTTGTGTTTACTCTTCCTCATTCCTGTACAAGGGTTCCTAAGGCAAAATGTGTGGCATGGTGTCCCTGTGCAGAGAGTTCCCCTTTCTTATTCTACTTCATTGGCTGCTTTTTCAGTGGTAGGGAAACTTGATACATGATGAGCCTAAGTAGAGGAAAGGAGAGAAGGAGATGCAGTATGGCTGCTTTGACAGCAGCCATGCACTGGTCATAACATTTAGTTTCAGTCTATGTATATGCTGAAGTGTGAGGATTAGGGAGGTGAACATCCTTCTGTCTATGAGAAAACAGCACTGAAGTCTTTTTGATTGCTTTATATTGCACCTAGGATAACACACAGAACAGTAAGAACAGATTGTAGTCTAATTGCTGCAATATGGTGCTAATAAAAAATAAAATACTTGAAGAATACTTCAGTGTTGTAGAGATAGCACTTTGGAGGGAGGGGAGAAGACTACATTTTTCTGTAATAATTAATGCTAAAACTTGAAATGTGAAGAGAGTTTGCTGAAGCTGCTGAGAAGAGTGCCAGCACAAGCTTGTTTCATTCTAACTTTGTTTTATGAAAATGAATTAGTAAGAATAATAATTCTTTGTAGCTTTTATGCATGTTGTTCTAGGATTTCTCCCAAAATGTGTCAGTCACTTTCGTTTCAGAATAACTTACAAAGTAAGAAATAGCTGTGGTGTTAGACTCAGAAAAGTTGAAGTCGAATAAGATAGGATTTATGTTTTCCTTTTTTAATGAAAAGATTAAAAGAACAGTTGGGAGAAATCTCCACATTATATTATATGTCAATTTTAAATTGGAATGCATCACCTTTATGGAGCAGTTAATTAGAGTGCTAGAAATATGGATCAGCTTTAAAAAAAGTTTTAAAAAAGCATTTTGGTTATAATCCCAGTGTACAAATCTACTTGTAAGTAAACCCTGTTGAACACGGTGTGTTTTACTTCTAAGTAGACATTCAGAAGTTTTTGTTTTTTGTTTTTGTTTTTTTTAGATGAAGGCTGTTGTTTTCTTTTAAAAATTCTGAAATAATTTCTGACTTGCATGGGGCTTAGTATAGGCATTGAAAGAAATATGTTTCTTTAACAACTTTTTTGAAATAAAAGCAATGATTGGACACGAGTCTACCCAGTACTCTTTGAAGGGCAACCCTGACCTCTGTACATGTGCTGCAATGTTCCTTGTACCACATAGCAAGGATTGAGTAGCCACCATTTTTTAAGAAGTTGCAAATGTTTTTGGTGTAGTTTTCCTCCTGACCTGCAGTGTACAAGGACTGCCTTCACTTCTTCGTAAACACAAGTTCCTCACTTTTAAAAAATTAAGCACCTGGTGCTCCTTTTAAGAACTTGCAGGAATTAATGGGGCTTGATTTCTGAATGTGAAAAGGAGCTTGGGTTTTAAAGAGAGCAGAAAATTAGACAACTGAGGCATATTCCAGTCTTTAATGCTGTATGGCCTAACTGCTTCCCCACCATTAAAAACCCTAGTTTACTTAACATACTTTACATTTCAGATGTTTTCCACAATGGGAAACAAGAAACTGATTTAATAAAAAGATTCCTGGAAAAGTGTAGATGCCTGAGCTGAATTTAAAATGGCTGGATGAGCTTGTCAGCATGAAAGATAGCTGGCAAAAGGCATTCTGCTGGACTCTGAACAGGCACTGAGAATAATTAAAATACTGCAAGTTGGACACTACTTTAAAGTTAATAATTAATGCCTGGTCTCATATTTAACATTGCTACATATAGTTGTGATCTGTGACACACAAACACACCCCCACCCCTCTTTATTCTTGACACTTGGTTAATATGGGGAATCTAATGCTTTCCAGAGAATGGTGTCTTTTCCACTAAAACCATTGTTGAATTTTACATTTTCTTTTGAGTCAAGCCACAACTGCAGAATCACTGTTGTGAACTGGGGGAGTTATACACAATATTAGCCACAATAAAGTTTGTTAATATCCAGAGAGTAGATATTGGAGACAAGCCTCATAATCTAAGCCACAACCCAAAGAGTGTTGCGCTTGAATGCAGTGTCACATGGTCAAGAGGGGGTGACTTCTTCTTTTGTGTTAACCAGCTATAAATAATCAACATAGGATTTGCAAGACGCAAGCTGGAGGTGCAATGCTGTCATTAAAAATCTCTCTCTTGCCCCTCTAATAGATCCTTGCCATGTGCTTCCCCAGTTCCTCTACCCTACTAGCAATCAGACTTTGGAACAAGCATTGGGAAGCCAGGTAACACTGAACTGCACGGTGCAGCTGCCCTATAGTAGAAACTGTGATCTTGACCTGCACTGGATGAAAGGTGACCAGTGGTTAGACAATACGACCTATGCTGCTTTTTCTCAGTGGTAAGGCTTTCTGTAAAATGGATATAAAAGCTAAATTGTCTGTATGGACCAGAGACCAGAGGGAGAAAAGTAGACTAAATATGTCTCCTGAACAGTAGATCTTGTGTAGATAGTGTTAGACTTTCTAGCTGATCAGCCTTTAAAAGGGCTTTTGGGAGCTTTGAATGTTTCTTCCTGAGCAGCTGCAAGAGGGACAAGGAATTTTTTTTGCGGGGGGGGGGTGTTATCTGTGTGTTTTTATGTCTCTCTGTGTTTTATGTTTCTTTGTAGTCTGTCAAACATTTCCATATACACAGACACAGACCAGGGAAGCTTCTAACTTTTTATGATTAACCACATGCCTGACGAGAACCATTTGGTGGTCACATCCATAACAAAAATTCCATACATGTCTACTGGGCACCAAACAGCTTATTCTCTACTTAAAAGGGAAATGAAAGATTATTGGTGAGAACCCACATTTCTGCTAGTATATATACAAACACTTGTGTGGAACAAAAGCTCATCAAAACTGACATGCTTAAATAGTAATGGTATTTTTGGGGCATGGATTTTTATGTGAGGTTAGATTGTGGAATGGGATAGCTTGTTACCTGTTTATGACCTATCCCTTGCTCTTAGTGCTTTTTAAAAAAAACTTAAAGCAACGTAGGATGGAACCCCTCTAAGTGTCTTCTTTGTCTTGGTCTAACTGAAATGTCCAATCTTTGCTTTTCTTGTAAAATAATGAAGTGTGGACGCTGTCAACCTGTATCTTTTTTGCTGCTCAGGTTCTCTGATAATGGAACAGAGACATTTGTTTCCAGCACATTGGAGGTGAATGTGACTACTGATGAAAATTATGGAGTGTTTGCCTGCTTGATTAGAAATAGCAAAGCAGTCTTCACACTGCAAAAATCAGGTAATGTGCATCTTTTGGCAGTGGGTGGCACCCTATTAAAAGGACAGCATGTTTAAAATGTCTTCAAAAAGATTCTTCTAGGGCATGGGTCCTCAAACGCTGGCCCGCGGGACGGATCCAGCGCACCATGCCCATTCATCCGGCCCACACCACTGCCCACCTGCGTGCTCGCTGCGCAGGCGGGAGGTGGTTGCTTGCTCACTTGGAGATGGTTTTGGATTCGTTGGGAGATCTCCCAGTGAGTTCAAAACCATTTCCGAGTGAGCAAGCCGCCACCTGCCTCCCCCGCACACGTGCGCTCCCCGCTGCCTTGCAGCACGTGCTGGAAGCGGTGGCTTGCTCGCTCGGAGATGGTTTTGGACTCGCTGGGAGATCTCTGAGCGACCGAGCCACCGTGCGCACACCCAATGCCACCTCGCGCGCACCCGATGACGCCTCACCGGCCTGCATGCCCAGGCCCCCCCCCCTCCTCACCAGCCCGCGGGTGTAGCTGCCGCCTTTCAGTTGGCCCCCTATTGAAAAAGTTTGAGGACCCCTGTTCTAGGGTTTGGATGAACCCAATAAGAACGCATCCCTCCAAGCATTCACAGGCTTCCCTTTGTGTTCAGCCTGATCTTTCAAAGTGAGCCAAGTCAAAGTCCGCAAATGCTCACAGAGCCCAGTTGTGTAACTGGCAAATGTCTTCCATGACAGCTGCTGCTGCAGCTAGCACAAAAGAGGGATGCTGCCTGTGTGGCAGTCATGGGCAGGCTGCCTTCCTTGCAAGTCTCTCGTGGGTAGGCCTTTCTTCAGTGCCAGTTGCAGTCACTCACACAGTAGCTGTTCCTGGCTCTGAGAAGGGGTGCCGCTTGTGCAGTGTGGGGGAAGTTCCTAGCATGCAGCCTGCAAATGCTGGGTGTACTTGTCAGGAACTTGGATTCTGGGCTGCTACAAAGTTAGATTCCCACTCTCAGATGGATTCTTCACTTATCCCTGGATTTCCAGATTAGATATATTATGTAATTCCATCCCATTTATGCAAATAGATGGAATTCTTGGAATGGCACACATGAGTGGCAGTGTAAAAGAAAGCACTGAAAGGCTACTGTACATGCAGACCAGTGCATTTGGTCTGTTGAGCATGTGTGTTGCACCATACTAGCTGGAATTTGAGGATGTGACAGCTTCAGTTTTCTCTCAGGTCATATATTTAGCTACTTTGTGGTGTCCAAAGTGAACTGAATAATGGCAGCTTTGCAAAGTCTTCTTTGGAAGAATGCAGGTTCGAGGTTGGGTGACTTCAAAAGGCAGAAGTGTTGCATGACCCTCTAACCAGCTTAGGAACTTAGCATCTCAGTCAGACTCTCCTTCTGTTAGGAAGCAGCAACTTGTGCTTTTTGTCATAGAAATTTGATAAGGTTAGCTCATATTTGATCATCTGACAAACTAGAGTTTAGCTGTGGAGATTTGCTTTTATACTCTATTTCCCTTGCATCTTTCTTTTTTGAATAAGTTAATGTGTTTTGCCTTGGAATTCAAGAGATGTAGGTGAACCTGCTGACCTGGTTATATTCAAGTATAAAATACACTTGTGTTCTAGTTGAAGAAATATGATTAAATTCTGAGTTGGATTTACTTAGTCTTCTGCAGTGTAACTAGAGAGTGAGACTGAAGCCTGACAGTGAGGCTTAGTCCTGAAAATTGCCACATGATGGCACCAGCAGACAATGGGAAATTTCCTGAGATCTTATATTAGTCACAGGTTTCAAAACAAATGAGTGTTAGGCTTTGGGATGTGTGAGAAATCTATTGGATTCCCTGGGTTAGGTTCACTTTGCTGCAGTCCTAGTCTGATTTCCTGACAAACATGCCCAGCATTCATGAGTTGCTTGCCATGAATGGAAACCCCTTTTTTCTGCTGCCGCACCTGACATGGAAGAAGTGTTTTTTCTGTGAACATTTGTGGACTTCCTCTCAGCTTGGCTTGCTTTCTAAGACCAGGCCAGGCATGAGAAGAAGTCTGTGAATGTTAGAGGGATGGATGCCAGTAGATTTCATTGTGGGCTTCATCCAAGCAGCATGTTACTCTGCTGCATGTTGATGCACCAAATTCTTAAATCTTCCATCACACTGGAAGTTCCTTGGCTGATGGAACAATCTGGAGATTAGAGCCTCAGTCCATTTAAAAAAAATTACAAATGGCCCAATTATATTGCAAATGTGCTGTGTTCACAGTACTGCAAACTGCCCAAGAGATCTGAAGTATGTGAATAATTTAGTTCATGCCCACCCTTAGTTTCAAGGCCTTTGATATATTTCTGAATTTGTCTTATGGATGGGGAGCCCTACAATGTAGAATAATTTTGTCTCATAGCTTCTTAGTTTCCTCTCATCCCCTCAACACCATAGTTGTTTGCTCTAAGAAATATGTTACGCCTTTGATTACTGCTCTTTGCTCGGGAATGCCATGCAAACTTTCTTGTTCTTATTGATGCTTTCTTGTTCTTGATGATGATGATTGTGACGACAACATCATTGCAGGTATCTTTTTGAGGTCTTAAAACCCAACTCTTCCTCTTCCTCTTCACCTCTGTATTAGATGTCTGTGTGTCTTTCATTCATGTTGTTTAAAATGCCTGTTTCTGTTACAGCCGAGACTGCTGGGCACTTGGGTGCTGTAATAGCAGCACTTGTCATTGCAGTCCTGCTGCTACTAATTGCTGTGATGTATGTGAAGTGCCGTCTAAATGTGCTGCTGTGGTACCGGAACCATTATGGAGAACTGGAGATCAATGGTAATGCCTAGGGCCGTGTGTTGACTGAATACTTTTCATCTTTGAGATATGTTGAGGAGGGCAGGGTTACATGGAAGAACCCTAACACTCAAGCCAGACCATACTTGCATGCTTTCCCCACAGCTGCGAGAGCTCAGATACTAGGACAGAACTGACATATTGCCTCTTCTCAATAGCAGAGAAGATGTGTGTGCAATCTATTTTGCTTTTGTCTTTTCCTTTTTCTAGTGCAAAACAATCCAGTGTAATTTTATCTACAGTGTCATCTGTTTACAAGGGATCTACCTCTAAAGTTATTTCAAGCTAAAATTTCAAATTCAGTCTGACCTCAGCTGTGAAATTCTAGAAGAAATAAGCACTCATTTTGTTACCGGTCAGCACTGATTTAAAAAAAAAAGAGAGCAGGGAATATGATGGAAAAATATTCAATGTTATATTTCTCTTCTTGGTACATTTTCCACAGATGGAAAGCTCTATGATGCCTATGTGTCCTATGCTAACTCAGCAGATGACAGGAAGTTTGTGAATTTCATAGTGAAGCCACAGCTGGAGAATCGTCATGGCTACAAGCTCTTCCTAGATGATAAAGATATTCTGCCCAATTCAGGTACAGAACTGATTGAACACCCCTTTTTATTTTACCTCGGTCAGTCCACCTTGCTGCTGAATTCAGGCTATAAATTAATCAGAAATTAATTACTTGACTGACTGAAGATAAATTTTTGGTTTAATTTGTCCATTCAATTCTATGGTCACGTTCACATGTCATGAGAAGCCATGGTGATTTCTTACCCTCGTTAGTCATTGTGCCATCCAGATGGAGTTGTGGCATTTCTGCATGGCACCTTTAGTTTCCTAAAACCACAGAAAGAATCAGTGGGTTGTTCTAAGGTGCACATGCCTCACTGCAGCTTCTCTGGTCATCCAGACCCTGGATTTCCATTCTTACCATTGTTAGTATGGAAGTACCATAGGGTCCCATGGAAAAAGCAGCTGTGCAAGTGGCTACTCAGCCATCCATTCTTCACTACCACAGCTCCCTAGCAACACATATGTAATCGCCTGCTTTATTCGAATTTTCTGAGCAATGTGCCTAGCTCCCGACTTAGGGACAAAGTGGGTAAATGCATGGAGGGGGAAGTGGGGAATCACAGCAGAAGTGTTCATTATGATTTAATAAAGATCCCTTTAAGTACTGAAGTGCCACAGAGATGCAGGTACAATTGGGAGCAAGAAGAGGGAGACTCTGCCTCAAAACCTCAGCAGGCCAGTCAGGATGAGGCTCGTGGGGTTCATAGAGAGCAACAAAGTAAAGAAGGAAATTTTGCTTGCACTGACTGCAGGGATGTATGGCAAGAGCAGGAGGACAGAGCAGGACCATGAAAAAAGAGTTGCCACAGGACCCACCTGATTGTCCAACTAGTATGTTTAGGCTAAAATTGGTGCACTGTGGAAACCATGCAGGGCTGTTTGCCATGATGTGTGAACCTAGCCTGTCTCTGTAATATGGTAACTTTACTGAATGCTAGAGTAGCATTTCATAAATACTTTAAGGATGCTACAGCTTATTTTAGAACACCAGCTCACTGCCTATTATCAAATGTGAAGAGGTAAATACAAAGTTCAGGGTCTTTGCTGAAAACAGATATTGAAAATGTGACCTGTATCTTCAGGATAGCATTCTGCTTTTCAGGTACAAATTTACCAGCTTAATCCAATATTCTTTTTTAAAGCTTCCAGAAACAATTGTAATGTACAACACAATCCTAGATTTCATTTCTATTGGAGTGCAAATTCATGAACACATTCAGGTCACAATGATGCATATCAAATATGTACCCCGGTTAAACACTGGTACCCATTTTCAAATAGGAGGAAAATACCACGGACATGCAATGCAATATCTGAAATGAAGCAATAGAAAAGTGGTGCTGCAAAATATTCATAGTCAGTTTTCTACATCTGGAGCACTTCTTAAAATATAAATAATGTTAAGACTGGGTGAAATAAACTCAATATTTTTTAGATATGATCTGTGCAAAACAAAAGATTCACTTTAAATTCATTGGAGAATTTAAGGTGCCATTGGCTTATTAAGTTTAATGTATCCAGACTCTGTTTTTATTCTTATGTGCATGGCACCACTGATGTGCTATCCACAAGTATTAAAAGTTTGTTGCATGATTTGCCACTCACCTTGCATGACCTCACACATATGCCTCTCACAGGAAAGGTGCAAATGAGTTGTTCTTTTTTTTTTTTTTTTTTTGCTGATCTCCTGTGTCTTTCCGTGACTTGAGATTCCTTAAAGTAATTTTGTCCACAACAGATGGTGTGAGTTAAACAAAAAGACCTTTCAGTGCAGAAGAAGAAGGATATTTCTCAGCAATTGCGTTGTCTTTCTGAGGGTGCATGTTGTTGGTGTTATGCGCTGACAAGGCATCGCTGACTTACAGCCACCCTATGAATGGAAGCCCTCCAACATGTCCTGCCCTGCTCAGCTCTTGTAAATTCAAGGCTGTGACTTCCTTTATGGAATTGAGCTACCTTGTAGTTGGTCTTCCCCTTGTTCTTCCGGTTTTAACTTTCCCTAGCATTATTGTCTTGTCCAGTTAGTTTGCCCTTGTATGACAGCCTCAGTTTCATCTTTTTTGCTTCTGGCTTGATGTGATCTAAGACCCACTTCTTATCTTTCCATCGGTCCATGGTATTTGTAAAGCTCTCCTTCAGCAGCCAAGAAACTGCAACCAAGAAATAAGAAGAATGAAACTAGGAAGGGCAGCAATGAAGGAAATAGAAAAGATCATCAATGGAGGATATCTCACTGCAGACCAAGGACAAGATCCTCCATGCTATTATTGTATTCCTGAGCAATATATATGGGTGAGCAGGCTGACAGGAAGAAATTTGATGCATTCAAATCATGGTGCTGGAGGAGAACTTTCTGTAGACAGAAAGACAAATGAGAGTCCTAGATCAAGTCAAGTCAGAACTTTCCTAGAAGCAAAAATGACAAAACCGAGACTGTCGTGCTCTCATTCATGAAAAGACAACATTCCCTGGAGAATACAGTCATGCTAGGAAAAATTGAAAGGCAGAAGAAAAGAAAGACCAGTATGAGATGGATTGACTCCATAAAGGAAGCCACACACTTGAATTCCCAAAAGCTGAGCAGGGTTGTCATGGATAGGAAATTTTGGAGGGCTTACATTCATAGGATTCCCATAAGCTGGAGATGAGTTTGATGGCTAACAAGTGTTTAGCTGACGTCCTGCAGTCCTAATCTAGCTTTCTTTATGATATATTCTGCACATAGATTGAACAGATATTTATTTGTTGGTTTGTTTATTTAAGGCATTTCTATACCATACAATATGCAAGTTCTCAGGATGGCAATACAGCACACAATGACAGCACACAAAAATAGAAATAAATATCTAATAAAGCTAACATTAAAGCAGTACAGGGAAAATAAAAAGGCTTTGGTCTGGCACCAAAACAAAGAAAGTGTCAGTGCCAGGCATACCTCTCTGGGGAACAGGTTCCAAAGCCAAGGCACTACTGCAGAAAAGACCTTCCTCTGGATAGCCACTCTTCTAATCTTCAAAGAGGGCTCCCAGAGAAGGACCTCAGGTAAAGAGCTTAAGGATTGGGCAGGTGTATGTGCAAGGAGATGCTCCCAGGCCCTAAATCATTTAGGGCTTTATATGTCGTCATCAGCACCTTACCGGGCCTGGACTTCAACTGGTAGCCAGTGCAACAGGACTGGTGTAACATGATCCTATTTACTGGTCCCCATCAAAAGCCTGGCTGCTCTGGTTTTGACCAACTGAGGTATCCAGACTGTCTTCAAGGGCAGCCTCACATAGAGTGCATTACAATAGTCCAACTGGGAGGTTCCAGGGCATGGGTCACTGTTGCTAGGTTCTGATCATTCAAGTAAGGATGTAACTGATGGTGGAAAGCATTCCTCAGTACAACAGTTACCTGGAACTCCAAAGTTGGAGTTCTGGGTTGAAGAGCACTCTCAAACTACACAACTTGTCCCTTAGGGGAAGTGCAGCCCCATCCAAAACAGGGTGAAAATCACATATAGGGAGATAAAATACATCCTTGTCCGATGCTTTTGTTTATAGGAAACCATTCTGTTTCTCCATATTCTGTCCTAACAGTGCATCTTGTCCATGATACCTTATGTGCTTTCAGAGCTGCTTTCATTTCACTTTCTGGTATTGCAAGCTTTTCTTCAGAGGGTTCCTCTTCAAAGGAGTCTGTTCTCTTTTATCTCATCTATATAGTTCTTCAGTGTATTGTTTCCACCTTCCCTTTATTTTATGCAGGTCAGCTCGTATGTTCCTCTGTTGGTGTTTCAGTATTCATAACTTAGGTTTAAATTTCCTTTTAATTTCTTGGGTCTTTTTCTGATCTGGGAGTCTCCTCTTCTGGCACTATTTCTTGTTTAATTTTGGATCATTTACCATAGGGCTTGCAAGGTAAGGAATATGTGTGGTTTACCACTACCACCTCCTTCAGAGTTAGCTTGAGCTTTGTCCGTGAAATATTCTCTTTTAGTGTTTCCTTCAGCTACTGCTGCTGCCCATTAGTTGCTCTTCAGGAGTTTTTCCACCCCACCACCATTATAGATACTTACTATCCCCAGATGATGCAATCGTCACTTCCTAAGAGGATAGATGCATCTTAGTCTGGTCTCAGCTTTGACTGTTCTGCCTTGGGTGACCCTGCTAGGAGAACAACCCAATGGAAGAGTCTGGCCTCTTGGTGGCAGTGTTCTTGGCTTTGCTGACCCTCTCAACTGATACTCACCAATAATAACTCACATAATAGTATAACAACAACAATCCCCCTCACTACATTAGGGTGTGCATCCAAGAGTGGGGTACACAGCATAATGCTGTGGAGATGGGATGAATCTAGTAAGCCATCCATCAGCTGACAGATACTGTATGCGTACTGTGCTATACACAATATATTAAGTAGTCAAAACTAACATTTATTTTAATGTTTAATTAATATTGGTAAGTAATTAACATTACTAATGTTCATGTATCTTGACATTTAGTTCCTTGTGTAAAGTGTTGGCACCCAATTCATTCAAAGCAAACAGTATCATTTGAGGGATGATAACCCTATAAAAGTTTGTGTTAGCCTTATTTCTGTTATTCATTGAATTACCCTCTTTCTGCAGGACAGAGTTGATAAAGTTTTGGATGCAAAGGTTATCTGCTCTTGCATAGGAGAGGGAAGAATGCTGAAGTAATAAGCTGATGCTGGGCCTCTTCAAAGACAGGGTTTTCTTCTTTTTCAGAACCTTCTGCAGATCTGATAATGAACGTTAGCCGGTGCCGACGCCTCATTGTGGTTCTGTCTAATGCGTACCTGGAACAAGAATGGTGCAGCAATAATTTCAGGTAACTAGAGGTCTAGAAAGCAAGAGAGGCAAGTTCTTTGATCCTTGAAGCTGTGGTCTGGAGGTTTTCTGGGAAGATCGACAAAAGCACCCTCTTTCTTCTCCCTGCCCACCTTACTTAACCAAATACCTACTGGTTTGTCAAATTGTACATTCTCCTGTGACAGCTGAACTGGGAAACTATGGCCTGAGTAATTTATCCAAACCAGGACTCAAAACCTGATCTGCAATCCAAAGTTTGAAGGGAACATTCAAAAATAGCCTTTTGTTTTTGATCATATGGCAAAATATGGCTTGCCAAACCTGTGTTAGGCTTCGTGCACTTAGGGTTCATTCCCAATCTTCCAAGCTGGAGGATGTGATATCTGAATGCCACTAATTTCTGTGGCTTTTGGGCAGAGCTGCTGCACCTCTTATCCATAGCATCCAAAATCACTCTTATGTAACTGGAAATGAAGTACAGAAATCTGAAGTCTGTACTTCTCAAACCAGCTTCTGGAGTTTGATTCGAACTCTCTGAATCCCACTAAAATCAGTGGAGATTTGAGTTAATGTTTGAGGTAACTGGATCAGGTGCAAGGCCTTTCAGACACCTTGGTCGGGCCAGCAGTAAGTGCACTGCAAGCCTAGAGAAGCAGGCTTTGCTTATGACTTTCTAAACCACTTGTCTGGTTTTGCAGGGAGGGTCTTTGGAGACTGCTGGAACTGTCCCAGACACCAATCTTCATTGCTTTTGAGAGCCAGTATCGGGAAATAACACATCCGGCCATTAATTTGCTGAAGCAGCACAAGAGCGCTGTGATCCTGCTCGTATGGCGTGCTGGATCCATGGTAAATTGTGGGATGACAGGCTTATCATTTCTGTTCACTGTGCAAGAAACATATATATTTAAGTAGAATAACTTCTTCTCAGGCAAGGTCTATGACTCACCCATTACATGATTCAGTAACAGCATGTCCCAGGGTCATTCTGCTACTCTTTAGATTATTAGATATCTCTGGCATGCAAGAAGGTTGTAGAAATGTCCCTGTCTACCAAACATTTTACTACTACATGTCCTCCTATTGGTTATTATTTCTACTGACTTACCTGTTGGATCTGGTCAGCTTCAGAGATTTGCCAGTGTATGTCTATGATATGCAAACAACTGGGGATGGAGAATATATTCTGAATGGGTTAGAGGCATGGGGACATGTTCCTATGCCCAGATATGATGAGCATGGGCATCTGGCCCTTGGACAAAGTGCCCATTGAGTACTGGCTTCACTGTACATGGGCTTTCCTTAGCTGAGGGAAGGCTCACATTCTGCAAAACAGCACTGACAGACGGTGGCTGGGGCTGCTTGACCCTGCTACATCCACCCTGTTGAGTGCTGATTCCTTTCCTAATTGGGGAGGATGTATGGCATACTAAGAAAGGGAAATCCCTCTTATCTCCAATTAGTTATCAGAGTTAATGGGGATCCTCCTTCTTAAGCCCAGAAACCCATAGTGGGAGCCAGAGCCTCCACGGGCTAGGTGGGAACCTCTGCAGGTTCCCTCATCCCTCCTCCAGATGGTCATGGCCTGACTGTTAGCAACCCCATGTACTCCCAGGGCTCTTGGGTGGAAACCATGGTGTCGCCTGGCTTTGTGGACGGTGTCACTGAGGAACTTGAGTTGTAATGATTTGGTTTTGAAGAAGCGATTGGAAAGCCACAGGGAGGCACCAGTATCTGGGAAATGAGAATTGGTAATATATACTTTGCTTTACCCAGAGAGCTCTTTCAGTGAAAGGTAATACAAAGGGAGGTGAATTATAGCTTGGAAAAAGCAGAAAAGTGCAAATCTTCCCCAGAGGTGGGCATTTATTGAGGAGCATTCTAGCAGTTCGGAGACTTTGATTCACAGCTATTTCTATTTTCAAGTGTGTGATGCAATGGACAGTAATATGCTAATGTTGCACATTAGACTAGGTTAGTATTGCTCTTGAAGTGGGATGCAGATCTCTCCAGGGGTGAGCCAGCAGGTTCTAGTGGAAGCACAGCTGAAATTATCTGACTTATTAGGCAAAAATACATCTGCCTGTTTTGCTCTCCCAAGAAGATGAGGTCAACTTTTTCTGGAAGAAAAATGTCTTCCTGAGTAGAATTCCCCAATTCGATTCAGCACCTAATTGTACAATGGGCTGGTTTGCAATCCAAGATGATTAGGCTTTTTCCCCCCTTGATGTAAGGTGATTGACTTCTGTTAACTTCAATTAACAAAATTCAAGTCTGAGCCTGTACTAGTGTAATTGCTTTTGTAATGATGCATAGGCAGCAGGCCAGGGGGCATCCTCTTCTAAGTCCCTTAACCTCTTCCAAGTTCATTATGCTCATCCCTGAGATTGCATTTTACTAGGAAATAGCTGGTAATATTATTTTTTTCCACAATATTGCTGCAAATGAAATGTGAGAAAGCACAGTATTGGTATTTTGGTTCTCCTGTACTTTACATTAGACCACCACCCTCTGTTACTAGCCATACTGGCTGGGACTACTGAGAATTGTAGTTCAAGATATCTAGAAGGCACCAGGTTGGTCAAGGCTACATTAGACAAACCACATTCTAAGTATTTCTTTAATTCTCAAACATATTGCCTCTGTGTAGAAATTAACCTTTCGGATCTCTCTGTTTCTGACCATTATTTTCTTTCATCTTCCTGATCTGCACTACTGAGTCTACAGGACTTTTTTCTCGGTTGTCTATAGATTTCAAATCCCACCACTGAATTTGTCAGGTGGTCAGGTTTTATATCTTATGCAGAACCAATCAACTTTGGGTGCTGCCATTTCTGCTTCCTTGAAATTCATCAGGGAGAACAGGAACCCTGCATGAGCAAGAGGGGAGCAGGGCAGAGACTGAAAACAGCCTGGTGTTACACTGTGGGGCATATCATGCCCTCCATGGCAAACCAAAGGGGAGTTCTAGAAAACTGATGGCAATCAGTCACATGCCAGTGTTTGGAACTACATGGAACTCACATGTCATTGGCAGGCTTGCAAGAATCCCAGATCTCTTTTTGACATGAGCTTCAAAAACATCTTATAGAACATTTTAAAAGCAGCATGCAGAAAAGGCACCAACTGCTCGTACCAACTGCCCTTTAGATGGTGTGCATTCTGCCCTGCTCCCCTCTTGGGAGTTTGACACTTCCCAAACAACAATCTCCAGGGTAAAGTTTTAGTGCCTCTCTGTCTCTACTTAGATCTAGCTCCTTCCACCCCTGCACACAGGTCAAGCATTTTAAAAGATTGCACACTATAAGAAAAACAGCAAAAGGAAGCACTTCATGGTGCTTGAGCTGGCTTTTCAGAGGTATGCCAAGTAATACAATAATTAAGAGGAAACCTGGTCTACCCCAACATAGAAATGGAACAGGCATTGGATTGTACCAGAGGATCATGTGAACTTTTACAACTCAAGAACTAAAACAAATACCTTTTAAATTTTTCTTTTTGCAGGTTATATTTTTAGGGCATAGTTCTCATGAGGCAGCTTACATTGACAATAATATAAAACAAATCAAAATCAAACCATTTTAAACATGTGTAATTTTGCACTGCTCCACCATGTTGTTTGTACTGAAGTATGTTGTTGCAGGTGATTTTCAAGGTTTGTGTCATTGTTCGTTCATGGATTCATTTTAAAACAAACACAGTATGTACTCAAATTATATTGTGTTTACCACTTCCATAAACTTACTTAATTTGTATAGTTGAGGCAGTTTGCTCATATAATGTCTACACACACACCCATGCACATGGATTATCTTTGTAAGGACAACGTAGGGAAGAGGGGAAGCATCAGCAAAAGAATGTAGGAGCCATGTAAAAGGGGAGAAAGCATGAAAGGTCACAGTAATTCTTACCTCTTGAGCTCTTGTGTCATCCAGCTGGTTTTTGAATTACAAACCTTCAGGAGAAACCAGTTATGTTTCCCCCTAATTCTGCTCCATAAAGGTTAGGCAGGTTTATCCGAAAGACAGACAGACAGACAACAGACATGCTGTAATCTTTCCTGAATGTAAGTATACTTTTGAGGCACTGTAGAGGAAAACTTTTGACCATCCTGTTATGGTTCTGCAGTACTGTGTCCAAAATCCATGCAATAAAATTAATTAGTTAACATTAGAGAAATGAGTGTGTATTTTAAAAATCCAGCCTGGACTTTCTATGGCAAGCTGGAGTTTTTCCCATGACTGTTCTTTGAAACCCCAAACATCTCTGTATGTGTTTCTCCACCTCTTCCTTTGGCCACTACTTGTAATTTCTTTCCACTTTGACCAAAGCTTGTTGCTGATAATTATCTTCAAAAAGTAACTGAGAAAAGAGATTCACAGTGTAACCTCCAGTATAAAAAATCCTGAACAACTTTATCAAAGCTGGCTTGGAAAGTAAAAGCCAATCCTCTATAGGAATTACATATTCTTAACCACCTCCACCCATCTTATATGGTGGGTAAAAGCATCTCTGGCAATCTGTAAACTTTCTGACAATCTGTAAATCAAAGCCTGCATGCGTGCACTGAAGTTTCATTTACCCATATCTCTAAAATGAAATGAGAGCGATGGGAAACCTGTCATAGCAACCAACACTACTGACATTGTGCCAGAGGCAGCTTATGCTAGCACTGTGCCCACTGCATAAGCAGAAGTGCCGTTTTGGATAGTACCCATTAGGTTTTTAATAAGACAGTTGCTGTTCATACAGGAATGTATCAGTCTTCTGTTCCATGGGATCTGTGACTACTTGTTTCTTACTTGGAGATTTAAAATCTGCTTCAAAGGCTCTCTCCAAAGTAAGTGTCACGCAAGAGTGGTATTTAAGTAAAATTCCATGGAGGATTTCTGTTGTTGCTAAATTCTTTGATTCAATAAATATAACTGGCTTTGTTGACTGCTGTAAAATCTGAGCACAGTGATCCCAGTTTTCAAGAAAGAGGGCTTGCATATTATATACTAATCAGTCTGATGGATATCATAGAAAATTAAAGGTGAAATACCTGCTGTTGAGGTATGAGGAAAAGGTTATATTGCATGGTGAAATTATTGGAGAACAAGCGGCTTTTAAAGGGGGCTGTTCAATATTAGACAGCCATTTTTGTTTGTCCATTTAATTCACATATGTTAAGAAAAGAAGAAGCTGTTCACAATTTTTGTTCTTGTTAAAACTGCCTGTGATTCCACACACATGGGGAGAAATGCAACACCAACACTAAATGTTTTTTATTAATTTTGGTATTTATTTATAATTTTAAGCAGCTCAATGATAATAGGCATTCCCTGAACAATTTATAAATAGTTGAAAGAATAGAAGAACATGGAAGAAGTGTTATACTCAATTCGGAATTAAATTGTCTTTTAGTGGACAGTCAGCTATATTCCTATTTCTACCACTTTTAAACAGGAATGTATATCAGTTCCTTTCCTTTTCAACTTGTTCATAATAATGTAGTTTCTGAATTACAAAGAACCACTACTTGCTAGTTACAGTTGCCTGGAGAAAGCTGTCCAGGATTCCTACACTGACAGCATACTCCTGTCTCATTCTTAGAGAAGGCTACACAGCATGTTAGCATCATTGAGTATGTATTTCTGTAAAAACATTTAAAGCATAAACCAGGAGAGACCTTGCTGTCATCCATAGACCTTGCTGTCATCCATATCTCAAATGGTGTATTATCCCCCTATCAAATTTATTGTGTTTCACTGAATCGCTATTTCCAGCTTTGTGTGTTCTGGTTGCTCTGAAGTTCTGTGTAAATAAAAGCTGAACCACTAAATGATACCTTGAGATACCTTGTGTATGGAGATACAGAAGTGTTGCTACTTCTAAGATGCTTTAATTTTAATTTTATCCTGTAATTTCCCTTTGTATCCTAGATTGGGGTGATGGTCCTTAGAATATCATCAGAACAGCCATTTCTTAAGTTGTTCTTTGAACTCTGTCAAATATATTAACAGCAATTCTCGCAACAGAAATTAGAGTTTTAATCCTAAAAGCAAAAGTGCATACTTGTTTGCTTAAGTATGGAATTAAAGTCCTGTAACTTCCTGAGTCAGGACAACCCAAAATCTGCCAGCTTGAAAAGTCAAGTGAATATTTAATTAAAATGTTTAATCACAAAAACGTTGCACAATATACATAGATACACAGACATTTTTTCAGTCTAATAAGAATCCAATTAATGCAAAATGCAACTTAAAAAAAACCTTATGACTTTATTTAGAATACTTTTATTTTCCAGCTCTGAAAAAGCTGGAAAGTATGCTAACTAATCCATAGTAAGTAGAAAGTAGTCCATAGTATGCTAACTAAGAGGAAACCTATTAAATCCTATGTGGTCAGTCTGCCTAATTTTACTAGTAGAAAGGCTTTAATATTGTTCAAAACACAGTGCCTGCAATTAATTGTTATTGATGAAGATGCAAAATAATACTCCCTTTGCTTCCCAATTCTATTTATGTGGAGAACATTATTCAGAAGATATACACCATTGTTAAAATGCTCGATTTCCTCATTACTTTCTGCAAGGATGCTCTTGTTGATCAGGTCTGAAATAATTGATTACTTGTTGGCACAGTCAAATAAGGACTCACAGATGAGAGACTGACTTTGTATTAGCTGTGCCAACAACTAGCAGCTATTTTAGATGCTTCTCCCTTTGGGTGTAATGATGACTTAACTTCCTGCTGATGTTTTATTCTGTTTACATTTGATGAATTCCTGCTACTTTTATTTACACTGTGGATCTTGTATATGTGTATAGTTTTATTTGTTATGGCCATGGCCAATACAAGTGGCTGGTAGGTAGGTAGGTAGACAGATGTAATTGTCCTGCTGTTTCTAAGGAAAGGCACACAGTGAAGCTAGGCTGGAGTGAAGTAAAACCAAAGCATAGCACAGGGAGGAATATTGTGCTTCCTCACATTGGAAAAGACAGTAAAGTATTGCAAGAACTTGTCAGCTATGTCAAGAGTACAGGCAATTCTCTGCACATGCCTCAAACATACATTTGGTGACTTTTATATATTATTTTGTCCTGTGAATATGTTATAAAATAATTTCATGGAGTCATTGTGTAAGTGTATGGAATCATTTTCTGCATGTAATTTAGTTTCCCAGATTTTCATAAAACTTGGATCTTTTCAAAAAAATCTTGAACTTTTTTTGGCAAGGATCTGGGTAGAAAAGGAATGTAGAAGAGAGGATTGTGTGAGGCTGGGCTTCAGCACATTGAGTTCAGAAACAGCAGGACTTGGAGAGGAATCTGTGAAGGCCCTGCCTGGTTTTTCTCCGGTTTTTGAGCTTTCACTGGATATTGCCCACATATCTTTGTCCTTTTTCTCAGTGCCAGAAGCAACAAGCCCTGCTTTGAAAATAAAAATAACAAATCAGAAATTACGGCTGCACGGAAATTCTAGGTTAAAAGGCAGACAAATGCTGTTGCTTTATCTGGTCACAAAAGCCTTCTATCGGGAGTAATGCCGCTTAAAACCTGTTCGATTTTGCAGTGTGTTTCATCTCGGAGATGCATCAAAGCTAAATGGCAATACCACTGGTAGAGCTCAAGGTCTCTCCACAGCAACAGCCACTTTATCTCCCTCTGTTCAATTGCTGGGAGCCAGACAGTGCCTGCAACTCAGAGACTGCCTGTGAAAATGTTTTTCCTAAGTCAGAGATGCTGGGGCCTGTCCCCAGATGCATTGCAGAAGGGATTATTTATAAGCAGCAGGAATGTGGCAGAGATACTCCTTTCTTTATTGCTTCTAGATGCCGTCATCTGATTTCTGGAAGGAACTGTGCCTTGCCCTTCCTCGGAAAGTGTCTTACCATGGCCTCAGGGGAGACCCCCAAACCCATCTCCAGGAGGACAAGGATCCCATGCTGATTCTCCACAGCAGTTACTTGGATTTCCGGAGAGACTCCCATCCTGAAGGAGACACTGGTAATGGTGCCCTTTAGTGTTAGCTCTGCTATCTTTTCTTGGAAGAGTGATGCTGAAGTTAGTGAGTCTGGCTTCATGATTTTACTCCATGAATAGCATGTCATTAGCACCCAGGCTGCTGCTAAGCCTACTGATGATGCTTGGAGGTATTTATGATGCTTTTTTTTTTTTGAAAGACATCCCATAGTCAGCCAGAGAGTTTCTCAAACAAGACAGACTACTACGGTAAATATATATGTGAGGAATTTGCTTGGAAAAAACATTAAAATTGCTGAAATATCAAAAGTATCTCACTGTAGTAGCAGCATTGCATGGTCAACCAAATGTCTTTTTAGACATAGAATTTTCACCAGCAGCCTAAACCAACTCAGCAAGCTGCCCGCATGAACTTTTCCAAGCAGAGCATTCTGCAAAAAAGGCACCACTCAGGAAAGGGTCTGCTCCTCACTGCTGCTCTGTCTTCAAAGGCAGTGATAACTGGAGCAGAGCCTTACGCAAAGGTCTTTCAGTTCAGGGAATGAGTGTATGAGAGATAAAAGTGATCTCTGTATGTTTAGTCAGCTCTTTCTGCTAACCAGGAAAAATGCTCTCTCCATTTGACATGGTGAGAGAACATTCCGTGAGCTTAAACTGCTGGAAGCTCATCTACTGGGGAGATAAATGTGTGCAGAAAGCTTTGTTAGCCAAACCATTCTGTTTTATTCCAGTGAGCTAATATATGCAACACATGGTCATTTGTCTGTGTGACCAAATGAGATAACACATCTTGACTGTTGTATTACAACTTCATAATTTACCACAGGTTAGGCAAAGCTTTTAGGGGATTTGGTGGTGCAGTGGGTTAAACCGCTGAGCTGCTGGGCTGGTTGATCAAAAGGCCAACAGATCAAATCCACAGGCGGGGTGAGCTCACGTACTCTGTCCCAGCTCCTGCCAACCTTGCAGTTTGAAAGCATGCAAATGCAAGTAGATAAAAAGGTACCACTTTGGTGGGAAGGTAACAGCATTCCGTGCACCTTGGTGTTTAGCCATGCTGGCACAAACGCTGGCTCCCTTGGCTAGGAAATGGAGATGAGCACTGCCCCCAAGAGTTAGACATGACCGAACTTTAATGTCATGGGGAAACCTTTACCTTTTTTAAGGCAAAGCTTAGGTGGGCCTTTCCACCAAAAAAAAGGGAGTCCTTGTCACTGCCGGTAGTTTCCTGTTTCTACACCCTACTCTGGCTGGCTCTGTTGCACCTCCCTGTAGTCTCAAAGCGATTTCTCGTCTTTTGACTGGCGAGCTGCAATCTTGTGCCTGAGCTCAGTGCAACAGACTTCTGAGTAAACTCGCATAGGGAGAGGCCTCATGTTTGATGTAGGGATCTTAGTCAGACAATACTTTTCTGCTGGGTGGGGCATGTTGGGAGTTGCAGGTCTTCTTTCTATTTCAGCATGCACAGGACTACACTTGGAGTGAGTTGAAGGTGATTTCACTGCTGTGTCCACTCATCCTAGTTACACCTTTGGTAGTTGAGTTTCAGGATTACTTCAAAAAATGTCAAAACCTGTTCAAGCTGAGTTGACAGTGGGGACACGTGACTTAAGTGTATATAGCAGGGAAGTGATGTCATTCTAGCAATTTTTTTTTATTACAAATTGTCTGCTTTCTGCCTAAATGTGTGTAATTCGGTCAATTCCCAGAGATGATGGATGATAATGATTTAGAGCTATATATAACACCCTTCATCATACTTATGCCAGGACAATTTTACCTCTGCTTACACCTCAGTGTGTTATGTACCTACCAGCATCTGGTTGCTGTGGCTGACCCCCAACCTACCCTTATGTCCTGTTTCTGCAGCTCTCAAACAACACAACAGATCCTTCTCTGGCTGATCCAGAGGGCCACCTGCTTAGGCAACAATTCTCATGTAGAACATGGTGCTGTCACCATGACCTGGCTTGTGTATCTGCACATGCAGGAGAAAATAATGTTGTTATTCTTTGAGTACGTTTACTGGCAAGAAGCAATATGAAAGGCTTGAGTACAAATCTTTTAAATAAATTACCAACTTCCTCTACTGTTTATGTGCCGACATACCAAAGGTTCAGGAAAGGAAGTGGTTTGCTATGCCAAAGGGCAGCTTTCAGTCATTGCAGCCTGGAATTGGAGAGAGAGGGTTAGTTCTTGCTCTTTCTTCTGAGGCCTATGGGACTGCCGCCGTACAGTGGATCAATGAAGGAAAGTGCACTTATGGGCATCAGTCCCAGTGGTTTTGAAGAACAGGTCCTGGCAATGGGGATTTGTTAACACAGACTGAGATTGCAGAGCAATACATTTTAATTTTAGTAACAGGAGCAGAGTAAGTTCAGTGGTCATAAAAGATTTACGAGCAACTGGCAACTGAAAACCCAACTCGCTTGTACTCTGTGATTTTATTGTCAAGAGAAGAACAGAGGAAATAATGGCTTTGGCTGGCTTTTCTTTTAGTTGAGACAGCAGCATTGGGCTTATTTTGCTGAGGGCATGTGTTCAGTGTCATTAATAGGCATTGCTCCTTGTGCTGTGTTGCCATGCACCTTGTTGGAAACTTTCCTCATTAGTTGGGCTGCTCTGTGCAGCCATATGCCCAGAAGCTTGAGGACCCTAGTTCTCCAGTGTGCAAGGGGAATAGTCGCTCAGAACGCATGCCTTTCTCACTAAAAGTGCCTATTTTTAATGCTCCCACTCTAAAGAAGCAATGCAGCTTAAAAAGTGGTTCACCTATAGCAAGGGCAAGCTCTGCTTCTCTCCCCAGTTTCCTTTCTGAGGTCTTTAAAATGCTAGCTGATAGAGGTATATTTCGGAGTTGCGTTGCTGTGTTGTGATTGGAGAAGCCTCCTATTTCTATACCCAAATTTCCTCTTCCTCCTTCCAGCATACAAAAGCTGAGCTGCTGTGGGCACCCCCTCTCTGCTGGCTTAGTTCAGAATTGGCTTGGATGTATGAGCTTTCTAAACAAGTATTCTGATATATATGCTTCACTAGGTTTTGTGTTCCTTCATAGCCCAGAATATGATGTAGACACAGGGGTCATGTTACACACCTGAGTGTGGTTGTGCTGTATCCTCTAGGACTCTTAGTTGGATTTCATTTGCCCTGGACCTATCCTCTAGTGGTTACCTCAGTAAAGAGATACCTGGACACTTAACACTCACCCATCCCCTATAAACACAACCAGGAACAAGAGTTTTATGTCTGTATCAGGGCCAACCACACACTTAAACACTTCCATGAACTCGGCTGGCTGGCTGGGCACACACTTCACAGCAAACAATCAGCAAATGTTTACTGGGGGGTAGGGGGCATTAACAATACACTGCATGCACCTCCCAAGCATGCAGTGGATTGGCTTTTAGTGCCAAACCTGCTGAAAGTGGGCCTTGCATGCAGAAAATTTCATTTCTTCCATGCTAAATACGAACTTTTGAGGAGCAGGCACAGTGTTTGATTTGTAATACTGCCAAGCATTATGAGTTGGACATACTTGCATACAAATGATGATTATGAATTGTAGAAATAACATTATATATTTATGTTTCTCCAATTAAAAATAAATAAGCTGGCATCTCTCCAGAAAGAGATCTTAGGAGGACTTGAGGACTTGCTGAAAGAATTGGTGTTGCAGTGAAAGAACTGAGGGCCTATTGAAGTAAAAGGAGAGTCAATAGAGAGATGATCTGTGAGGCATCTGCACCTTTAATGCTACCTGCTGCTCAGCCCTGCTCACACTATTTCTAGCAAAACCTGAAAAAGCAATGTATAGAACTAAAATATGAAATGTCTTCTGTGGAAGAGGAGGTTAAGAAAAGTAGAGGTTGGGAGCTCAGTAAGAGAAATTAGAAGAGATGGCAAAGTGATGCCCTGGAGTGATAAACGCAGGATGGCTAAGGCAAACCCAGCTAACCCTTTTCCCCATTATAACACGAGGCACCATTGCTTAGGAACACCTCTGCACTGTTCCCACTTGAATAATGAATCTGAGCTATGTATGTCAGTGGAGCTTGGACTTCCCCTTGTAAGGTGACTTGCAACTTTGTTTTGCTTCTTGCTCTGTTGCTTATAATGGTACCCACTATCCAGAACCCAAGCAGGATTGCCCAGAAATGCTGAAATGCTTCATGGCAAAGCACCCAGGGAAGGATACTGTTGCACTCATTTCCTGCTTGTGGCTGTCTCCTGAGCATTTACCTTACTATAGGGCAAGAGTAAGGAACCTGTGGCTGCCTACCACAGGTAATGTTGGACTGCAACTCTATTATCCCTTTCCATTAGCCAAGCTAGCTGGGGCTCATGGGAATTTGATCCCAACATCTGGAGGGCCATAAGAATCCTCATCCTTGAGAAATGCCTTAGGTTTTATCCAGCACAACTCTTTGTATAGAGTGAACTGCTAATGTCTGGATATAATGTCTGGATATAAAACTGCTATTTCAAGAGATACATGTAACGTCCAGGTCAACCCTAACCCTCAATGGTAAAATGTGAGCAACCAAATTTCTAGTTCTAGGTTTAACTCGGCATTTCCTTTTAGCTCTGGAGCTTCCTCCAGTGTCCTCGGTCTTAAAATGATCTGGCCCCTTAACTCATCTACAGTCATATCAAGGCATTCTCTTATAAAAACCATCCAAATGACGTTTAAAACCACCAGCTGAGCACCAGACTGCATGAGACACAAAAAGTCTGTAATGAGATCTCCTGACATTTCTATTTTTAGGTAAAAGCAACCAGGGGGGGATCTGACTTTAATTGAAGCAGTGACCCTGAGGAAGGGTGTTTAACCCTACCCCCATGTCATTTCCTGACTCTAAATTGTCCCCAGTTGCAAAGCTCCCACATCTCATGTAGCTTGATCATTACACTGGCTTAATAGCTTTCTCTCCCCCCCAGGGAAGCGTGGAAACTATAGTGCTGAGGAATGCTAGGGGTCTTTAACAGATTTATTAGCATTCTGAGCAAAGTACGATTTGCTGGATGGTTTGTGGGAAGCTGTGATACTTAAATTGATATTAAATAAGCTTAAACTGCAGATATGTCCTTACTGTAAACATTTTGCAGTGGTAGTGTCATCAGTCATTTGAAAACACTGCAGTTAGTCTAGTATGGATGCCCCATCATTGTCCCCTGCCCTCACTGTTACCATCTCTTTCTCATCCTACAGCTATTCGAGGGGCCATTTTCAAAGGTCCCCCACCACATTGTATGACTGGCCCTGATGGTCTGCCAGTTGGTGCCATGGAAGAAGTTCAGCTTGGAGAAAAGCAAAGGAGTGAGATAGACATCTCTGATTTGGGATCACGCAGCTATGAAGCAAGGACAGACTTCTACTGCCTAGTCACAGAAGATGATATATAAGAAGTGTTGTAAAACCATTTTTATTTACATGTTTCTTGACAAGAATAATCTCTTTGCCTAGTTTCTTCCTTTCAAGTAGAGTGCCACAGGGCTTTATCCTGAGCTTGGTACTCTGCCACATGTTTATCAGTGGCTTAGAGGAAGAGGTGGGGGGAATTCTTCCCAAATTTGCAGATGATACAAAACTGAGGGAGATTGCGAACACCTCGGATATAACTCCAAATGACCTTGCTAACATGGAAAATTTAGGCTAAATCAAACAAATTTAGCAGAGACAAATGCACAGTTCTGGACTTATGCAAAAAACAAAACAAAACACATGAGTATAGGAAAGGAGATAATTGGCTTGGCAGTAGTACATGTGAAAAGGCTCTCAGGGTTGCATTTGATCATGACAAGTTGGACATGAATCAGCAGTGTGAAACACATGCAAAAATAAAAAAGTTAATGCAGCGTGACGCTACGTTAAGCATAGTTTTCAATTCACAAAAAGTCATTGTTGCATTTTATTTCACACTGGTCATACTTCATGCAGTCTAGTCTGGGTGCAGCAATTCAAGAAGGGAATTCACAATTTGGAAGGGCTTCAGAGAATAACTAAGATGGTTGGGAGAACAGGGAAAAATTCTGTGAGGAAAGTTTGAAGGAAATGGGTGTTATTTTCTTAGAAGAGACTACTGGTGGATTTGAAAGCAGTTTTTCTATCTCCCTGGGAGGCCTTCAGGAAGAAGCTGGACAGCCACCTACTGGAAGTGCTCTAGCTCTCTATTTCCTGCATCGAGTTGGACTTGATATCCCACAAGATCTTATCCAGTTCTATGAGTTTATAGTGCTTGCTCACTGTGAGGGTTGCAGGGACTTTCTACCCATGCTGAGGAATAACATGGTGTCTTAACAGCAATTTGCATATGGTGTGTATTTTTAGTTTTTAAAACTCTTCAGAATCTGCAAGACTAAGAAAGACTTATTTTCTCAAACAACAGCATAGCACGCTTTTGCGCTTGACCATACTCATGTAACTTTATCCCAGTGCTAGATCAATCAGCCTCTATTTGTACTGATGTGCAGTCAGCAGCACTGAGGCTATCCAAATGACAAGGGAAATCGCAACAACAGGAGGCCTGCTCTTTGGGTAAAAATGTTATCAAACAGCACCAGTTCAACAGAGTTAGCATCACAGAGGACGCTCAAATGGAAGGGCAATCTCTCTACATGAAAATGGGGCTTGAGAATCACTTTCTCAGTTGACCTGGTAGCTTTACAAACTGATTCTAAGCACATTTCTGTGGACCTAAATCTCAGAGTGTTCACTTGGATGTGTGTCCATGTAGCTAAATTTTGGAGTGTTGCTTTAGTATTTACTATGCCTACTGGGTGCAGACCAGCCAGTGGGAGGTTGGAGGAAGAATCTGAGAGCCTCAAGAACAAATGTGGAACAATGATACTGAAAGACTAGGATGGTGGTGCAAGGGTGTTAATTTATAATCCAGTTAGTATAATAGCAAATATGCTCCTTGTTCCCACAAACATATTAGAAAAAGTTGGCACATAAGGGCCTAGCTGCAGTAGTAACACTTCAACAGGACTTTCTTAGGCTGCATTTAACTTGCTGTTGCTGTTTGTTGCCTGAGCTATTCACAAGCCATTTCTGCTTGGAAAAAGGCTATTTTAAGCTACCCATGCCTAATTCCCTATCTGTTCCCTCCAGTTCTGTGTCATAAGCAGATGGTAATTCATGGGCCATCAAACTTGAGGTTCAAAGAACTGATGTGCTCATGTTAATGAGCTTCTGCACATTATGGCTGAATTATGTCTCAGGACAGGGTGCTTCAAAGTAACTTAGGAGAAGTGGTTAAAAATAACAAGGTCAAAATTGAGAGCCTCACAGTCTTCCCACATATCAAGAATGGTGTTCTATATAGAGTACACTAGACTTCTCTAGTCTAGAGATGAACAACTTGTGACTCACTAGATGTTTTGGCCTGCCTCTTTTGTCACCATTGCCTATGCTGCCTAGGGCCGATGGGAGTTGTAGGCAAAACATCTGGCAAACCACAGTTGTTACTCCCTCTTCTAGGCCATCTATTTCTTTACCATCTAAGGACATTCAAACAAGGGGATTATGAGGTTAAAACGGAGATGGAACTGGAGCTCTCACTTTAAATTCAATGCCTCTGTCTGAGTAAACAGGTTAATGCTGCCCCTCATTTCCTTCCAGGGACAGGCAGGTCTAGTCAATGGCTGTGTGGAGACTCCTCATACTTCCAGTCCAGCTTCTTATGTCAAAGCAGATGTATGGGAGATGGTCTCTGAAAAAGGAGGTATGATACACAATAATGTGGGCTAGATCATACCTACACTGGTCCTCCATGTCTGCACAGATGAGCATTGACTAGTATACACTGATGTTCCATAAGCATATGAACAGCATCAGAAACACCCATGAGTACTTTTGGTTCATGAAGAAGCGAATCTGACAATGGAAAAGCAGCTAGAAAACAGGAAGCAGCTCAGGTCCTTTCAAAAGAATACAGGTCAGAGAAGGAAGTTCTTCAATCATACTTTTAAATCAGCACACTTATATTTTCCCCCAGCGCATATAATTTGTGCTAGCCTCATCCCATGGCCACAAGCCTAACTTTTTTTTTGCATGCCTTAAATGGATTTTTATGTCCTGAGGTATTTGGTGTGGACTGTCCAGTAGCAAACTGCATTGGATCACTAATGTTATTAGCATTAGTTGCTAAGGCAGTTGCTGACTATGAATTAGCCCTATTTCATATAGCTTGACAACAAAGCAAGTGAAAACAAGGCAAGTGAAAACAAATTTGAGCATATTGCCATAAACATTAAAACAAAATGTTTAAATACATAAGTAGGCAACCAGCCAAGAAGGCAGTTGGATTCAGACAACCAATGTGTGAAGAGAATGCTAAAAAAAACCGATAAGGAAGCTAAATTCTTTGCTCTGGTCATCACCAGAGAATGCAAACAATGCTAACACCTGAACTGCTTTTTTCCAGGTAGGACATCTGAACAGCCAGGTTCAGATTAGAGGAGCAGGGGAGAAAAATGTGAAAGTTTAGAATGGAGAAAAATGATATGTAGATATGTATTCATGTCAGGTGTTCATAAAGAACTCAAATGTGGAGTTGTTTTTTCCCCCTACAAAAATATGCAATTTGCACTTTAAAAACCAGCCTCTTAACTAGAGGAGTAGAGAATAGACAGTGCCAGATTTCTTTTACAAGGAAGCCTGAGGGATCCGGGAAATTAGGGGCCATTTAACATAACATCTGTTCCAGGAAAATTATGGAGGGCATTGATGAAGGACAGAATTATTAAGCTTATCGAAGGCAAGGCATGCTAAGGAAGCATCAAAATGACTTCTGAAATGAGAAATTATGGGCTCATCAATCTTTTACAGTTCTTTGGGTATCTTAGCCAATGTGTAAATCACCATGATCCAGGGAGTATTATATACTTATACATGTATCAGTCTTTACATACACTGCTCAACTCATTTGTTGTTCTCACTCCCCAAATAAGTTTTTGGCTTGGTCCTGAATGAATTTGCCAGTGGTGGGATAAGGCAGGTTTTCTTATAGATCAGCAACTGGTTAAATATATGAAACAACACAAATGGATGGCAAAGTTTTTATGCGTTGAAACCAATGCTGTTTAACTAGTTTATAAATGACCTGGCCTTTGGTATACAGTGAAGTGTCATGCACAGCAATGCTACAACTTATGCTGAATAGTGAAACACTAAGCAGACTGCAAAGAGTTCCTAAATGATCTCTCCAAACTGGATGAGTAAGTAAAAAAAAAATGGAGAATTGACTGGCAGTAAATTCATGGAAGGCCTCTTCACAGAGCATCCATTTAACTTACAGAATTTACTACTGCAAAATGTCACAGCCTCAGACAGACAGGGCAATCCTATCAGCTGCTGCAGCCAATGCTGATTTTGGCACCTCTGACAAATCCAGTTAGTTATAGCTACATTCAGTCCTAGTCATTTCTATGAGTAAACTCCAGGCATGATTATATCTGGATCCAACCACCTTAGTGTAACAGGGAAGCCTCTCCAGACAGCAACACTAGCTTTTGTTCCCAATGTAACTGTACTTTAATATTGATGTGCAAAAACATCTTGTAAAAATACTATTAGCCTCATGTTGATGAGATTATATTCTTTGACTTGCTGCATTAACTTATATCTCGCCTCTCCACAAGACATGGCACTCACAACAGCTGCACCAGGCCTGGCCTTAAAATCAAAATGCTTCCTGTGTACTATCAAGCCAACTGTAATGCCACAAGCAATTTAGTTAAAGGTTGTGACAAATATAATCAATGAACATTTTCTGAAGTAGGGGCGAACAGTACCAACCAGCCAGCCCACACGCCAAGCATAGGGCAACTTTGCTCATACCTGCCAACAAATGCCAATATTATAACATGGAAGACTACCCTATTAGAAAATAAATATAAGCAAGCAGTATTTTCCTTCCCCCACACTAGTGTTTGGGTATATCTGCATGATGCACTTATGGGTAGGGGGGTATGTGCTCATCCTGGCATCCCTTGAAGAATCCTTGGAATTGAAGCTTGGCAAAGGTGCTATGGCAATCTTCCCTCACCTTCAGATGTTTTAGCCCGTGACTCCCCGTACTAGCCCCAGCTAGTACACCAATGGTCAAGAAATCTGGGTGTCATCTTCCAAATCAACTGGAGGGCATCAGGTTCAGGGACAGCTCAGGTCACACAACAGCTCCAAGAAGTCTCTGAAGCATGATAACTTTTTAAGCATTTCATACAGATCTGTCATTTAGAACAGCACAAAATGAAAAGATAGCCACCAAAACTGTTATAGCCTTTATTTACTTATTAACAGAAATGAGACTGCCTTGGATTAGAGAATTTTCTATTAAGTACAAAGTTGACTTTGTCTGACCTGGCCAACACTTTGTTTTCTTGTTGTTTGTCTCCCTGTGGGACTATGCTTTGTTGATAATCAGAGCACAGCTACTTACATTATGATGTAAACTTATACAAAAGAAGACGGGCTATCTGTACCTTTAATAGATGGGTAGAAGACAGAATTTTAACAGGTGCAACTTGACATGCATGCCTGAGAAAAGCCTATGCCTGTATTTACCAGATGAAGTGCTGCCTTCTGCACTGCTGTTGAAGCTATAGGAACTGCATTTTTGTTTCATTCCCTCTAATCACCCAATTGCACTTATGCAAGTCATTGATTTTTTCCACCAGCTGCGTATGTTCCTCTCTAGCAGAATTACTGAAATTGAGTTGTTCCATTCACACATCCTTCGATTCTGCATTTACACACCTGTCATTTACTGTTTCAAGCTCTCCTAAAGCCAAGAGAACTAACTGCATTACTGGAAGGATTTTCAGGCCAGAGGCGTTTTAAGACAGCTTAACTGGTTCCCAAGACCTGCCTGCACCCATGATATAGTTTCTGCTTCCTCTGTTGATAATGGTTGAACCAAATGCATTTCACCTCAGACTGAAGCTCTTCTCCCAAAAGAGCCAACTTTCTTCTTGGGTTGGAACAAACAGATAATGGCTGTGGCAGCATATCTTGCATCCATGGGTTAATTTGTTAATGGACAGCACCAGATCTCTTAAGAAAGAAAACAGCCTGATGAATTAGTGGTTTTATCTTACCTGTCTAACTTACTGAGCTATATTTTGCAATAATCACCAAGATAGATATGTAGCTTTCTTATTCCTTCAAGTAGGAGGGAGAGAAAAACATCTGGGCACTGGTCTTAAACATCTCATGCACACTAAGTACACATATAGCAGGAGATGCTTTCCCAATTTTATAGATGCAGAATCACTTGTGAAAATAGGATGGCCGGTGTTTGGGGAATCCGTGGGTGGGTGATGAAATAGAATAACATGCAAAAGAGCATGTAATTTACAAAAACAAGGCGCCACCTGCTTGAAAACCACTTTTGTAAGACAAATTTTGGTTTACAGCCATACTCTTCCAGTTTCCAAGGGAGTATGCAGATAATTGAGGCATCAGAATTTCAGAGCTAGTGAGAAGCAATTTTCAGGGAAGAAAAACAACCATGTGTACAAAGCCTCTCTTCTACAGGGCTGGGACAAAACAAAGCAAAAACATTCTTAATACAGGATATATAGAAGAGCACACCCACCCCTAAGGTGCGATCTCCGGAGTCCAAGTTGACTTCCCAGTGTTTTGTGGCATCTCTGTGGCTGGATCCAAATTTTAACAATTACAGCAAGAGAAACGGGTGGGGAATCATCCCTGAATTACAACGCTGTAGTCAAAGGCCAGTGTAGCAAGGTTCTGACACAGTACTCAAAAGATCCATTGTTAGACTGCCTCCCTTTTATCTGATAGCTTGCAAGAACTGCTGCTGCTTTCTGAGAAAGATGGCATGCATAAGGGAGCAACTACTAGGCTAAGAACAACTTCATCAATGGCTTTCAGCTAGGTAGGAAAGAAGCCTATCAGGCTGGTGGAGCTAACTCACATAAACAGTTTTCTATAAGTGGTTGTGCATATGGCCTGTAGTGGGACTAAGTTCAGATCCTGCCGCTTCCCATTTCTCCATTGGCATCTTAAGGTCTCCCATTGCAGCCTCCCTAGGAACAAGCAGTTTAAGGTGATGCTTCAGTAAAACTCTAATATTACTACAATACAGGAAGAATTTACACCTGATTGAAAGATGGATAGCTACAAAATTAGAGAATAACTCTCCCCATATAGAATACTGGCACCCAGGAAGGCTTCCATTTGCTAAAAATATATCCCAAGTATCCTGCTGCTTGCTTGGTAACACTCTCTTCCTAACCCGTAGTCCAGGTATTAGGGACTGGTTTGATGGGAGCGCTAGTTGTGGGAGATCTTATTTTAGTATAGTGCAATCATCTTGATCTTGTTTAGGTCTTCCCCAACTAACAATATATGCCTGTTCTACCATTTACAGCCCCATAAAGCCAGTCTGCCTTCCCATCTCACATTTTGGAGCTTCAGATGAATGCCTGGATTCATTTCCACTGCATGTGAGGGAAATCCTGATGCATAAGGTTGCTGCCACAGCACCAGGTGCTTTAAACACTTAGCATGATTTTGAGGTCTATGGCGAACATTCCCAGTGAGAAAGGGACATCAGCGTGATCACTTACTGGGCACAGTCTTGTCCACACAACAGGCTGCTGTGGCACAAAAAAATCACATTCGGCCAGGATGCATACAAAAGCTGTACATTGCATAAGCATCCCCAGCAGATGACCAGCACTAGAAGAGTTGGCAACACTGATCAGCCAAGGAGCTAAGCATCCCAAGGACTCCCTGATCCAACAAGGTAAGAATTAATACTGTTGGATGCCAGCGATGCTGATCATCTGACAGTAGAGTCGGTCTTGATTGCAAAAGTGAATCTGATGGCTGCTGCTGCATATTTTGGACTGAGGCCTACAACTTGCCTCTTGTCAGACACAGCTCAGCAGGTCAGTCCCAGACAGTTTACATTCACTAAGTACAATTATATTTGAACAGAAAAGAACATACAATTCTGTATAAAGCACAGCAAGGTTGGTCAAAGACCAGCTTCAGAATTTGGTCAGTCAGCACTTTCTAAACTTGCTAGTGCCCTTTTCCCATAATACCTCCCTTCCTTTACTTTATGAAGTCAATAGCCAAACAGAATAGAGCCAATCACAGTGGGTGTTCCTGCCAAATTTTCTGTTTTCAGGATAGTCTCTGCTGCTGACTTTATGAACTAATAAAAAATGAAAGTACCCACCACCTAACAGCTTCAGAGATTGGTAGTTACAAAGCTTTCTGCTCTATTTTTGGTTAGTGCAACTTTAAACACTGTGTTTGACCCAGATTAGGGATGTGCAGCTTTTCTTATATTTGATGTTTCACAGATTGTCAGACATCTTTATTCCATCGTTCATTGACAGGATCTATTTTTTTAAAACCAGAATTGTACTCTATTTGAGCCAATGCACTCTAGCTGTAATGCACACTTGTGCAAACTTAATGTACATTAGCACAAATCTCCACCAAAAGTGAAAACTGGTCACATGGGCACAGAATTTGCATGATGGAACAAACTAGTCCATTGCAGAATGTGCTGGCCAGGATTAATAGAAATTCAAACTCTTGAATCTGTTGTGGATTACTCTGACAACCCTACTCCAGATGTACTCAAAGAAGACTCACTGAAATCAGTGACACTTAATCATGACTAATTTTAATCCCATTGCTTTCAATGGGACAACCCTTAAGTATATTTAAACCTGGATCCAAGTTACTGCATTTATCCCTCAATCCACAGGGTTTTAGTACTACCAGAACCAAATAGACTTTCCCCTAGAATCCCATGCGTAGGCTTATATTTACCATTAAAATCTATTCATGCCTCAAAACAAGATGCCATAGCTCATTTGAAATTAAAAGCAAACGCATTACATCTGGGATCCACAGGAGTGGGAAGGTATGAGCAATGGACTGGGGTGAGGTGAGAGAGACGCATGAAAGCAGAGAGAAATACCCATTCACGGTGCAAAGACCTTCATAAGGATCCCTTCAATATCCTTCTGCAAATCTTGCGGTGACATCTCTGTCTGTGAAAGGGGACCCATGGACATCCAGTGTTTGATGTGAGTAAGGAGGGGAGTTTGTTGCTGGCTGGAGGAGTCCTGGGAATTTGCCTGAACGCTGACTCATGTCTTTACAGTTAAGGCACTGTCATGAGATAAGATGGCCAGCAGAAGGAGGTGACCTTTAAGCAGGCTTGGAAAAGAAACTATAATAAATGCACAAATAAGGCACATCAGCCCAAACGGTCAGGGATCTACAAAAAGAAGGCGCTGCAAAGGAGGAGTTTCATGATGTAGCGCTGCAGTCCATAATGGTGCTTTCTGTACAAATTTCATGGAGCAAAGGTACAGCTGGACAGTCCATTTTCTGCATGCCCGTTCCTTTACATGCCAACAAAATCCTCTTTCCGATAGCCCTTCTGTAAAGACACAGACAAGATTTCTCAGGATACATCATACCACGACTGAGCCACCCAGCACTCATGTTTGAAGCCAGAAATAGCACAGACTCAAAATAGTTGCTGAGGTAAATGCCAAACCACAAGTGGACCATGATCCACAGCAGTGGGTGCCCTCCCTCCCCATAACTGAGGTTCCTTGACTAGTCGGCCTCTGCCAGATGCCATGTCCTCAAGTCTGTTCCAAAATAAGAGTCATGGATTATGTTTTAACAAGACACTCAAGTGTTTAAAATAAGGGAGGGCTTCAAAGTAAGGGGTGCTTAAAACATGCTAGACACACAACATGCTTCTGTCATGAAAGGTGTGGGCTATTGATCTATCTGGGTCAGTTGGGTCTCCTTTCCATCTCTGGACATGGCCAAACAGTGGATGCTCCTGTTATTTTGAACACTCACTGGGCACGTGCCTATTGCTAAGCCAGACACACAGCAGATGACTAGAATGCACCCCTTGGTAAAAGAGGTATGCAGCTGAGCACATCCAAAGCAGCACTGGGCTCCTGAACAACTGTGCAAGAGAGGTCTTTTCAGCAGGTACATGTCATCTTAACCCTGCATGACAGGTGGCAACAGCTGAAAAGTGCTCTCCCAGAAACCTAAGAATGATCAAGAAGCCCTCCTGTAGAAAGGGTCAGCCTAGAAAATACCTCTCCCCACCATGCTAGGATCAGAAAAAAATGCTCATGCAAACTTCACCACAGGTTCTCCGATACAGCTGCTTCCCTTCCTGTCCTGTGGACTTCCAGGCACACTGGAGCAGTGTGCACCTACATGCTTCCCAGCTGCACCTGGTAGGGCATCGATTCTTCTCTCGCAAGCCCACCAGGGAGCGGAAGTGGCTGGGGAAGAAGGAACATACCGTCTTATAATCCCGATGAAGCCTGCTGTACTGCCACATGTTGCTCAGGAGGCTGGAAGCAGCTCTGGAGGACTTCTCACTCTCTGTGCTGGAGAAGGAACGGCAGTCACAACACATGGCAAGTGCACAGTTGGGCACCAACACACTCACTCCCTTTTTGTGAATTACAAGCGGATTCTATGGCAGGGTGATTTCACACCCCTCAGTGACCCACCGGAGTGTGAGGCTGGAGTCCTTCACACACTTTCCTGTGACTAAATTCAACTGAACCTAAAGGGGTTTGCTTCTGAGTAGACACGGCTAACACTGCATAAGGGTGCAGCCCAAGACACACACACTTGCAAGAAAGCCCTACTGGATTCACTGAAACCAACTTCTGAGTAAGTGCAAATAAAGTTTGGCTGTAACTGTGGAAAAAATGGGTTTCTCTTAACCAATGGGCATGTATTACAAGAACAGACTCATGCTTTTGCAGAGCTGCAAAAATCACACTGATACCTTTAAGAGGATTTGGGTCAGAAGCGTGTTTGTCTAGGGGTGAATGGGCCTAGCCATTCTCTCAAGGCTACCAACTCAAATGGCCCCTAGCCAAAGCAGGAACACCACCCACCGCTCTCCCAGAAGGCACACGGCCCCTCTGCAACTGGACAGTGCAGTCTGCAATCGGGGCCTTTGGAGACGGTAGCTCTCAAGGCGGGCATGAGTGGCAGGCCTTAAGGGAGAGCTGGAGAGATGACAGGCGGGGATTCAGCCTCATGCTGCCAACTAGCTTGAGCCACAGAAGGAAATTCCAAGGCTAAGAAGCCAAACTAACTAAGAAACCTTCTGAAAGTTTAAAAGAAAACTTGTAGATAAAGGTAAGCCATATAAAAAGCTTCTGGGTCAAGTTTGCTTCTTTCTCCAAGCTTCAAGAGAACTCTGCCCCCACTCCTAAACCTTGCTTTATCCATTGAGCTCTGCCATCAGACTGGACAGAAAATCCAGTGATTGGGTGGGGGGAACCTACAGCCCTCCTTCCTCAAGGGGCTACAGTGCAGAGGGCACTGCCCCATTGCAGACTGCTCCTCTTGCTGCTGAAATTCTGTGGCAAAGCACTCCATAGTGCCGTAATGTGCTACAAAAGCTAAACCTGAGCTGGTTGGCAAGCTCAGCATAATCCCTTTGGTGCTTCTACATCCACTGCGGAGCACTAAAAGGGTCTCGGTGATTAGCTTGCAAACAAGCCAGGTTTGGCTCAGTGGCATTCTGCAGGTGCTACAGGTAGCAATTTTTGTTTTGATTTCAGGGTGCAGTCCCTGAAGGGTGGCAGCAGGGGCCATTTGTTCCCCACATCTGGATTAAGTGGCTTTAACACGCTTCAGGATCAGTCACTGAGACTGCAGAGGCTGAGCTGGTGAGAGTGTTTGCAATCCTTCTGCAGGCCAAGTGTTTCAAAATGTGGCTTTCAGTAATAAGTTCTGGGTTGTACAGATGGGGCAGGGAAAGAAAATTCTTGACCACTCGCACCTGTCCCTTTTCTTCTTGATGTAGAAGAGCTTGCGTAGGCCATCAAAGTAGACGATGTCCCGGGCAGCGATGGAACTTTCCACAACCAAATTGTTCAGCACCGCAATAATGTTGACTACCACGTCTGCTGGGGGCCACTTGTCTGCAGAACTTCCAGGAAGCTTCTCAATCAAATGGCTCACCACCTTGGTTGCTGTCAATCAAAACCAAAACTCATCAGCACTGCAAACAGCAAGGGCAACCCCACAAACAAAATGAGTCGACTCCTCAGCACAGGTGGAGCAAGCATGGCGTTTGCTCCACATGGAGGGCAGCTCCCCCAGCTTTACATCAGGCCACAGGTTGGTGACCTTTGTTGCATTTCCCCCGGGAGAGCACTCACACATCTCATCCTTGTTGCGTGCGTTCCGGGACAGGTTGCGGATCACTCCTGTCAGCGAGCGCAGCTGGTGGTGGTCAGCTGTGCGGACTCTGTCCAGTACCGAGTTCAGGATCCTCTCTTGCTCCAAAGCCACTCTGCTAAGGACACCAGCCCACTGCAATAGATGAAGAAAAGGACGGTGAGTCTGCAGAAGAGGACCCAACAGGTGAGTCCATGGAACACCTGGGATCACGGCAGGGGGTCCCTGCCCTTCCTCTGGTTATGCGATGCGCTTGTGTTCGACAAAAGCCTCACTGTAGGTCAGCTTTCCACACTGACTCACTCTAGAGTACAGCAGGCATGAGGCACTTCTTCTGTCAAATAAAAGATGTGAGAGGGAGGGATTTCTCTCCACTTGGAAGCAGATCATGGCAGAGTACAAAACGGTTACAACTGTCTGGCAGATCCTTCTTCCAGAAGATGCATTTCCAAATCATTTTAAAGCATCCACATGGATGGACGTCCACAATTTCAATACTACGGCGGATGGATCAAACCTCTCTTCCCCCTTTCTCTTTGAGTGGTCCCCTTACTTCTCATCCTGTGCAGGAAGAGTAAACTCCCACAGCAAATATTTTTCAGTCCCAAGGCAGGTGAGGCAGATGGAGTTATGTAAAGAACCTTCCTTCATAAACACGTTCTCTCCGCATGATTTTAGAAACATTTAGGACAACAGCAGCATCAGGATTATGTGGCTGACAGAGGACAAATTCAATCTGGGGGAATTTTCAGAGCTTCAAGGTACAAACGAGAGGAAAGGCTGTTGGTAGCTCAGTAGTCTGTGGTCTGCTGTTTGAGCAGGTCTGTTCAATTTCCCTACCAGTGGATTAAAAGGACTAACTAGTGCTGAGGGGCAGTTCACCCTCCAGGTCTACTTTTAGTTTCCTGCTGATCTACAGAACCCGCTATCTTAAAAACTAAGTGGTGGAATGAGGACACCTATCCTGAGCCTTCCCCATCTTCCACATCACACCTGAGTTTGCCCCGAGGCATGTGGGCTCTTTCATGTATCCAGCCTTACCCTCCGGTCTCCTGCCGTGATGTTCTGAAGAGCCCCGGCAGCTGCCTCTGTGGTGTGCTTGTTTAGCTCACATCGCTGTAGCAGCCTGTTGTAGACTCCAATGATCTGAGGGTTCCAGAGCCATTCCATTCCCCTGGGATCCTTAGAGACCTCTGTGAAAGTCACAATATCTGAGTTCATGTGGAGCTGGGAGATGAAAAAGAAAATGTCTTTTCAGTGGCCATTCTGTGAGGTTCTGGAAAACCTGGTTCTACTTATAGCCATATCACACCCTCCATACCTCACTGGGGCTCAGTTCCATCATGGCAACCGTCTTGTCCCTGAAACCTGTTCCCCATTCAGCCCCAGCGCTAATTCCATTTCTTACTCCCCTCGTGATGGCTTCAAGCACCTCCTCTGGTCGCTCATAAATTTTCCAACAATTGAAGTAGAAAGCCTGGAAGATGCTCACACCTCTCCTGACAACCTTCTGGATCTCCCTGAGGAGAGCAGCCTCAAGCACTTTGAAAAGTGATTTCCACTCCTGTGCCAGCTGGACGAGGTGCCGGGGCTTAATTCTGTCCAGAAACAACACTCATTGATCTAGAGGCCATTCCCACTCATCTGCTGTTGGGGACTCATTCACTCTGTTTCTAAGGTGCTGGGAAAACAGGCATGCTGAAGGATATATCAACAACCCCTCTCTTTGCATACATGGGCATTAGTTCCAGCAGTGAGAAAAGGAGCTGCAGTTGAGTCAAAGTGAGCCCCAGGATGCCTTTAGCCCTGCAGTCTTCCCAGTCAAGCTATGGACCCCAATCCCTTCATGCGTTCCATGCGCCTTCCCCTCGCAGTACGCTCTCATCCTATACGACTGGGCCAGTCGTGGCCTACTTCCCATTCCCTCCCATAATTCCATTCTTCATGCTCTCACCTCTCGGGCCCTCCTGCTTTGGGGGCTGAAGCAGCCCACCAGCTCGCCTGTCATCGTTGCCCCATCACTCCTCTTCTGGCCTTCCAGGCGCTGGAGCGCAGAAGGAGGCATCTCATCATAGAGACGGTAGGAGAGGTTGCGCAGCACACAGACCGCATTCTCTACACTCTGCAGGAACAACATGATTGATTTCTAAAAGCTATTTACAAAGCTAATTTCCACTGTAAAACATTTTTTTCTTTAGGCAAGGCCGTAAGGACTTTTGGGGGAGAATTTTTAGTAAATAATATTTGTTCTGAGATGATGTGCTGCATAGATTTTAGTAGTGGCATTTATGTATTTTGATTTGCATTTGATTCTCCCTATAGGCTGCCTCAAGCAAAATGCCGGAAAAGTGCTAAAGATAAGTATTAAAAATGTGCTTTCTTTAAAATGTATGTATTTATATATGCTATATTGTTTCTGGGGTCCTCTGCCTCCAGTCCCTGAGGTAGCATACAACAAGAACACTGGTTTTGGGATTCACACCAGGAGATCTGCGTTGCCTCAGTACCTGGAGACACCTACACAGAGGAGGATGCAGAAGGGGCTTCCCAGGCAGCGCCAGACACTCACTTGCTGCTTGCTCAGTGGGGCTCCTTTTCCATTACTGAGTCCATGCACTTAGGATTGTACTGTTGCAGTGTATGTAGAAAATTATCTGAAAATGTTGCTTTATATCAGTGGTTCCCAACCTTTTCTATGCCCTGCACCCCTAGAAAACATTTGATTTGTGTGTGCACCCTCTACAAAAGTCATACCAACTTTTGAAGATGAAGAAGTCAAAATTCTAATTTTTGAACCACATTTGCTGTGGGTGAGCAAACTGAACTAAAAAAAAAGCTTTTAACTCAGGGCATGAAATTCAACTATACACTGAGCAATTAGAAAATTGTCAACAGTAATTTAGAAGATAATAAACAGTAAATCAATCCCGATTGTGAACATAAAATCCAGGGACTTCTTTGTTCCTGTTTCTGTCACAATTTTGTCAAAATGTGGAACTTTCTTGCTGATTGCAATCCACAAGTCTGCCTGTGGATTCAGACAATTGCTAGATTTTGTCTTGACAAAAGAGAACTGAATCCAAATGCAAACAAAATAAAATTGGTATCAATAATAATTTTATCATTGGAACGATATTTAGTGAAAAACATGGCGCCACAGCCTTCCTCTTTGTTGCACACCACCCCCCATGCCATCTGGCACCGCAGGTTGGGAGCCCCTGCTTTATATTATGTGCCCTTCACTGAAGTTGCTGTAAGCTTTTTGGGTATGGTTTTGCCATGGGAAAGTGGCACACAAATAACCAGGATCATGATGACGATGACAACAACAATGATGGTGCAACTTCTTTGGGTAACTGACAGGTGCTTTGCCCTTCCAATAGTATGAATATTTCTTAAGGGATGGGTACTGATTGTAGCATCACTATAAACAGAATGCCTGGCATTGAGAATTTCCAGAGCTGAGTTAATCTGGACTGGAACAAACATTATCTTGAAGAGATGGCTGGGAACAAAGCCTTGCTTTCATTTAGACTCCCAAGGACTCAGTCTTACTCGTGATATCTTGAAAGTTTGTTTTGGCCCATGATGCAAACATGGGCCAGGGTACAGAATACAGTTCCCTGCTGCTAGCATCTAAAAAGGACAGCACTAGGAGCGCAGAGGTTCCCTTATGCTGAGCCAGGACTTTGATCCATCTGGCCCAGCCATGTCCACATGGACTGGCAGTAAAGGCTCGTCAGGAGTAGAGGCTTGATTCTAAGCCCTACCTGGAAAGCCAGAACTGAACCTGGAAAGTTCTGCATGCAGTGCATTTGCTTTACCAGTGCAGCTTCAAGAAATGAAAACCTCATCCGGCAATTATGGCTGAATGTATAATTCCACTCTGAAAAATTAAATGACAGCCTCCCTATGAACACCCGTCCCTGTGGACAAATTGCTTCACATCATGATCCATGTGAAGGACTAATCCCTGGAAGCAGTCAAAAAGAGTTGCACTGGAGGACTGTGGACAGTATCGGACAGGCTGCAGTGTGAATGACATAGTGCTACTGCCAACTACACTACTGCACCATCAACAGTGTTACCCACCATGCCAATTTTCCCAGGAATTTAATGCACCAACTATTGTTTTTGGTGTCACACTAGTGTACTTTACATAATTCCTGATACTGATTGTGCCCCACCAGATCGTGTCCGGTTTCTGTCCACCTGAGCCAAAGCTCTTGCTCAACGTAAGGCAAGACATCCAGTATCCAGGAGAAGGCTCACCTTGTCCTCTGACTTCCCAATTTCTAATGAGCTGTTAATATAATTGACCATGGAGTCCACCAGCCCATGGCACTCTCGCATCTTCTGCCGTGTTTGCTGGCTGGCAGAGCTGAGATTCCTACAGGAATGGAACAAAGGCATCTCACCAGGTGGAATTATCTTCCTGCCCCTGCCATCATCATGCCTTGGACATGCACTGGTGCACCCTCTCATATGCTAAAGAGAAAGCATATATGACCTCAAGAGGAAACGACATCTATCGGGCAAATGCTTCTCCCTGACAGGGCAGCTCAGTGTGGACCAGAGAACCTGACATTGGCAGAGCCTTCCTGTCAGTGGCAGCCAAATTAGAGCCATGCAAAGAGAAAGGAAAGCTTCCACAGTCAAAGCCACTGTCACTCAAAACGACCCACTTGGCAGTCCAGTGCAGGGCCCCAGAAACCACGAAAAATGACACCTCTAGTAGGAGGGTTGCTCTTGGCTTTACATCAAAAGTGCAGATTCAGTGTGCACAAAAGCGCAGTGTGCTGATTCACAGGCTCCTCCCACCCCTTGACTCAGGCCTAGAAGTATGCCAGTTCGGCATGGTTCATGCATGGGCCTCTGTAACAGCTGACAATATGGGCCACTGTGGCCCGCCAGAAAAGCTTTTAAAAAGCACTGGGGGCCACTTTTTTCATTATTGCTACACCCAGGATTTTCTGTCCATGTATAGTTTTCTCATCAAGATCCAGTGACCATGACATCTGCATTTCCCTCAACCCGAAGAGTACCTGAGGAAGCCAGTCGCATTGTAGAAGATTTCTGCCTCAGAGGCATTTTGCTGGATAACAGCCGCACTGCCTGAGCCAGATAGAGGGGTCAAAACCAGGTCTGTGAGCTGCTCCAAAGTGTCACGGGCCAGGCGGTCCTTGAGGTTATCACTGGAAGACAGATTCCAGAAAATCCCTGCAGAACAATGAGACAAGTGAGGTAAGACAACATCAGTCAACATTCACGGCTCAACAAAGAACTCCCAACATCATCAGGTACAGATAAATAATATTAACATCACTACTGGATCTCTAGGTAGCTTTTTCCAATTAAATCACCACCACCACCACCTTCTGCTTCCTTATTCTTATTATATTGCTGCTGCTGCTATTGCAAGAAGTGCTTTGCACTGCTTATCACATTCAGCCTTACGCTAAGCCTGTGAGATGGATTGGTCACATTTCATGGGCATGGACAGGCAACGGAGGCCCATGACCATTTCAGCATGGGATGAAGCCATCATGCCAGCAAAATGGCAGGCAAAAGGGGGGAAGTCCTGTGAGTGCCCTGTTATCTCTTGAGGTGTGCCTTAATCCTGGATACATCCTGGATCAGCCCACACTTTAAAAGGTCCTTTGGAGCACTCACATGAACAATTACCAGGCTGAAAGGGGTCACAGTGGTTATCCCAAGTCACCAGGCTAACACAGGATGACCTTTCAAAGGCTCCCTGAGTGAATGAACCTATGGCTGTGAACGATGCACCTCTAATCCTAGAACATCTACCTCACTGACTCTCTGACTAACATGAGGTCTGCTATTTGCTGATTTCACCAGTTTTCCTGCTGCGTCATCAAGTCTCCCCTTCATTTGATTTGGGTACCTCTATGCATACAGGGATATCCCTGAAGCTGTCCACACCTCTACGAAGCCATCCCTTTAACCACAGCACTAGCAAGCAAGCAACTTTAAACTACAGCTCAAGTGAACTGGCAGACCAATATAAAGGCACAAATGTCTATCAACTCCTTCCAAAACCTTCTTGGAAACCCTGCAAACAAGGAAGCAGTTCCAAAAGGATAAATAGTTCACTCTGCAAATGCTGAAGCAGTCCATTCAAAGCAGATTTAGAACTTCTGTGTATTCAAGATGGCTTTCGCCTATGGAAGCTCTTGTATATCCAAATGCATTGAATTTTGATATGATTGTGAGATATAATGATATTCTGGATAATGATGGAGGATTGAAACCGAACCAAGAACTACAAGAGCAGGAAATTAATATTTCTTGGTGGCATAAGGTTCAAATACAATCGAGATATGTTAAAGATTATAAAATGTGGGATTTTTATAAGGAGTTAACAACATTTGACCAAGTGATCTTAAAATCAGATGAGAGAATGATTAAAAGATTGTATAATTTTCTTTTGGATAGGAGAATGAAAGATGAACAAGTTAAGGAAACTATAACATGGGCACAAAATTTTGGATACAATATTGAGCTACAGAAATGGAAAAAGCTGTGGGAAAGAAATATTAAAGTAACATTAGCAATCTCATATAAAGAAAATTTGTATAAAATGTTTTATAGATGGTATCTATCACCAAATAGATTAGCTAAGATGTTTCCAAATATGTCAAATGGATGTTGGAAATGCAAACATAAACCGGGTACTTTTTATCATATGTGGTGGACTTGCAATGAGGCAAAAAAATACTGGGTTAAAATACCTAAATGGCTTGAGGGAATGTTACAAAAACCTCTAATATTTAAACCTGAAGTTTTCTTATTAGGCATTTTACCTGATGATGTTGATAATCAAGCAATGTATTTGATTCTACATGTAATTACTGTGGCGAGGATTGCATTTGCCCAACATTGGAGGAGTGAAGAACCACCTACCGACAAACTGATTTTAAAAAAGATCTTGGACTATGCCGAAATGGACAGATTGACTTTGTCTCTGAAGGAGAAAGAGGATACATACTTCTATCAAACTTGGAATTCTTTTTATTATTGGCTAGAGAAATGGGACTATGCATAGACTTAAATATGTTTATGGATTACCATAAAAAAATGTACGGGGGACTGACCCAGTCGGTCTGATGTTTCTGATGATTGATGATTTTTAGTTTCTTTTTGTTAGTTAGTAGAAAAAATAATAATAAAACTTACTTTAAAAAAAGAACTTCTGTGTATTTATTCCAGCCTGCATTCAAAGCTCAAATCCAAATTTACAGCAACTCTGAAACAAAAATGCAATGCGCATGCCCTCCATAAGGCAGGCATTTGATGCTGGCCCTTGCGAGATCAAACCCTGATTCCCTTCTAGTAATTAAGCAGCTAAGGAGTCTAACCACATCTTCATCTGGCTTCCAAGTGTGCCAAGAGTCGCCAGGGTGGGGTGCCGCATTGCCATTTCCTTGTGAACAAGTCCCATGAAGCTTCCACTCTGGGCCCAGACTGTGCTCTCAGTAGGTTGGAACAGTGGGTTGTAGCCATTATCAGCCCTGCTTCAACCAGATTCATGGAAATGAACGGGACAAGTTAGAGCAACCTCAAAGCACTCAGCTGGTCCACACCCAACCTGAATCCACAACAGAGACTTCACATGACCCTTCAGCACTAGCGAAGGGCAACCAAGACTAAAAAGAAGAATGTTGCAAATGCAGTGGGCTCCATTCCACGAAATGGCCTTGATCTGCAAGGACTGTGCTCAAGTCAGTGGCACCTCCAAAGGTGCAGTCGACCGCTCGCAGTGCTGGGTGGCGCTGCGAGCCATCTGGGTCAGCCTGGCTGGGCAGCAGGCTGAAGAGACAAAGCAGCAGCTTCTGGAGAAGCCCCTCCTTCTGACTTCAGACAGATGCTGGCTGCGTCAAGGCCATGAAGGAACTTGGATGAGTCCCAGCCCCGTAAAACCCTCCGCATTATTTGGATGCTTTACTGCAAGGGCTGGAGTGGCTGAATCACAGGAACCAGTTGGAGCAAGACAAACCTGCGGGCTATGCCATGTGTCAAGCTCTTGCCTTGCAAGAACTCATCTGACCCCTTCCTTGTGCCAGGTGTTATGCTGAGGCTTCCACTGCAGGGCTGACCGGGTGACGCCCGACTCTGACTCTACACTTGCTTCACTGTGGCCAGACCAATTTTCCCCTGCATCACCCTTTGTGACTCATGCCTTGGTAATCTGTCCAGAGAACATTTATTATTAAGCAGATTACAAATGTAATGAATGGATGCATGCATACGGGGGTCCTGGGTGGGGCTGTCCTCATTAGCCAGCCCAGCACCCACGGCTGCCCCAGAGCGGCAACTGCCGGTCTCCCTCCCCTCCCCTCCCCTCCCCTCCCCTCCCCCCCCCAGCTTCTTGAGTGCGGCCACCCACTAAGACTAGCCACCAGCCTCCTCTGCATGCTCATGAGCAGGCTTTCCCCATGATGGCATCACTGGTGCAGTAATGAGCTGGGGCTGAGTGGCCAGGATGGGTCCTGGCTCCTTACAGCACTGCAGCGACTTCTGCTGCACCCACAGGCAGGCATCCACACGGGTGTGCAAGCAAGGGAGAGGAGGCCAGTGCTGCCAGAACACTCAAGGGGTGCAACACGACCAGCCCCTGCCCAGCCCTGCCCTGCCCTGCCCTGCCCGGGTGTGTAGGCCACACCAAATGCTCCAGGATGCTGGCACTGGTATATTTTCCCCCAGGACACTTAAATCACTTTTTCCTTATGGAATATGGCAGGGTCCACAGACACTTTGCTGCTCAAAGTTATGCCAAAGCATTCATCCTTCAGTTTGGTATTACAACTCTAAACAGCAAAAGCGCGGTCACTTAGGATGTAATCGCATGCAAGTTTAGACAGAAAAGACCTCTGAAAGTCCCAGCATTACCCAGCCAGGACAGCTGTGTGCGGAATGCTGGGAGTCCCAGGAAGTTTTTTTTTTCTGTCTAAATAAACCCAGGACCTGGCCCTTAGAAAAACCAAGACAGACAACTAACAACGTGTGATAACAACATTCAGCTAGGAGAATTCCTGTCCCAAACTGAAGGCAATCCCAAACTAGGAGAAATGAAAGCATGGTTCTTCTCACTGAATTCAATCAGCCAGATGAGAAATCAAGCCTCCAATGACAAAAATTTAGCCTGTGCAGCCACCAATCAATATTTGCTCATAAAACAAGCCTATCTGCAAAACTACATGTTAGGAGTAGTTGCATGAAGGCCTGTATGGAAGAAGGGCATTATGGTTCCAGAGCAAGGGAGTTTTCATATAGTCACAGCTAGTAGTGTGAAAGGGACAAGCAATAGGGTGAGAGAAGAAAGAAGAGAAAGAACTTTGACAGTGGAGCAGCATATAAAATAAGAGGGTGGCAGCACAAAATAGGGAAGGAAGCCAGTTTGCCCTTGATCAGCTCACACATCCACAGATAAAAACTAAGAAAATGGCATAGTTTTGGCTGAGGTTTTACCCATGTTAAGATGCTGCACTGGTGGAGAAGATTTTGGTTTATAGGGGAAAGAGGAAAGGAATTACTGAATGGCATAGAAAGGATTGTCTGATTTAGAAAGTGAGCCTTAAAGAAGGCTGCGATTTCCTCCATAAGTGGTACAATAAATCAGTAAATACATTAATGTAATGTTTGTTTGGGACATTGTGAGCATAGTGATTTGCATATTAAGTGGCTCAGCAGAATAGCTTTCTGCACAGGAGAGATGAAGAAACAGGCCCATAAAACATGTTGCTTTTTTATCAAAGGTGGGAAAGCGTCCTAGAGCCTCCCTATCCACGGACACACGCACACGCGCGTGCACAGCTACAGGCAAAGAGGTGACTGGGCTATCTCTTTGCCCCTCCGCAGCACCAGAGTCTTGTGCCCAGAAAGTGGCTGCCCTGGGCTGTGCTATCTGGGGATTACTCTCTCCATCCTCTAATTGTATTCCGCTAAAACCACTTTCACAGACTCCATCACGCTCGTAATAAGTGTTAAAGCTCATTGCATTATAGCTCCTAGGCCTCACTTTCCCATTAGCCCTGGTATTAAATGAGACAATCAGAGCCTGTTGGGCAGGATTAGAAAGGCCCTTTTGTGACAGAAGCAAATGTAATCTCTCATGTTTGCCGGATCTCTGTTCAGTGCCTGAGCTCTCCCCGAGCATCAGCAGTTGCAAGCTGCCTAAAGCCATGCCGCCGCCCCCT